AACACAAAACATTGCTCTGGGCATCTTTTGAATGCAACTCCAACCATGACATTGATTATCTTAGCTTCATAATTATCTCCACATGCTACTGTAACTGTACCGCTGTGTTCAACAGTCAGACAAGGCTCAGTACATCCTGGGTGAGTGATTATATCAACCGTAAGTAAATTAGCTCTTAATAAAAGCCTTTTAAATAAGGCAAAGAAGCCCTGCAGTTTAATGCTATACATTTTCTCAGTGATCCAGCTGTGAAGTCAGTGGAAGCAAAGAAAAGTACTTACTTCTGCTGCGACAAAGCTATTCAACTTTCCATTATTAAAGTGGTATTTTACAAAAAGAGAAATCAAATCAGCAGTGAGAGCCTCATTTCGATGTTTTGTCCTGTTTCCTTTCCTTATTTGGTGATGAATTAGAAATACTAAACACATACAGATGTGTTTGTATAGTAGAGGTTTTTCGTGTAGATAATGGCTATACAGTTTCAGAGATATATGAAAAACATCTGTGAGAATGGTCTGTAATTATCACTCTGAAACCCCAATGAATAAAACATTTATATGATGTACTATACAAGTTTCAGCCCGGAAAAGAAAAATATCTTTCTCATTCATCAAAGATGTTTCTGTTCCAGTTGTTTTTGACAACACTGTCTCCCTGAATTGGCATATCAAAAGGAACTTTGAAGTGGGACACGCAGTAAAAATGACCATATTTTATGTTCAAATGTGTTTTTGAAGTCATGTTGGATATGCTTGACTGGAATTTATTTTTTTCTCATCCTTAAAATTACAATCATTACGTTTTGTCTCAAATAGCCAACAATTGGTGGTACCAATTTATTAAATAAGGGATAATTCCTCTAGAGCTTTTGACTAATAGCACTCATATGTTATGTTTGTGTGTCAGGGTAATGCTTCTCTATTATTTTAACAGAGACAACCCAACACTAACACGGGCCTCTGTTGAGTGTTTACTGTATAATGGGTGTGACAGGCTACCTTAGCCCAATTCTGAGGTCACTGCTGGTGTTTCCTACGAGGTATGGCAGTTTTACAGCGGCAGGGGCTCAGACTTGGATAGTTTCTGACATCTCAGACTGCTGCTGCTCTGGGTCTGTCTCGCAATTTCACCCTTCTCTTTCTCCCGCTTTCTGCATTCCTGCCTCTCCAACTCTCAATCTGAAACACTCGCCTTTTCTTTCCTTCCTTTATTTTCTCACACACACAGGCAATAAATGATATCAAGTCTTTCTCAATTGAACTCAAAGAGGACTCTTGAGCATATTTTAAGCCTGAAAGTCTTAATCTCCCATAATGGGCTTCTTTGTGGTTGTCAAGGAGAAAGCCCATATTTCTTTTTAAATAGCTCTCTGTTGGTGTTTGAGGGGGCTAGATGTGGTTATTGCTAACAAGCACTCAAACAACAAACTACAAAAAGGCTAAAATTATTTTTTTTGCGAAATGCTTCATTTGCAATAATTGCACCAGGAGATTATGCAAGAGAAAAACAAAAGCTCACCAGGATTTTCACATTATGTGGTTACTATATTAGTATGTGCAGCTTTTCCTAAACACACATGCTCTCACATTTACATCCAGCCTATAACACAGGCTATAAGTGCTATTTTCTTTATGAACCACAGCAGTAAAAAATGTGAGGGAGACTGATTACGGCTTGTTTAGCTGTTTTTGCAGACAGGCATTCTCTGTCTTTGCACAAGCTTTAAATGTGCAGAGAAGCCGAGTCAGCCAAGACGCAGCAGTGTGTTCGGCGGGACAGTGGCAGGAGCGAATCAGATGTTCTTTATCTTCCTGCTGCAGAGTGAAATGTAGAGGAATGTAAGCTGAACATTTACAGAGGCCCTGAGGAAATACAATACTCTTTCTGCATTGCAGCTGTGCTAATGCAATTACGCATTGTTCCCGCAATAGCCAAAGATTGCAATCCAAGAATATAAAGATTGTCTGAAAGAACACCTTTTCATTTGAATAATATTATCATTATTTTTTATTTTTTTAAGGCCGATACGTAGGTGAAGCGGGTCAAAAAGCTGATCCTGTGAACATTATATGTATTCCAGTATTTAGCAGAGTTAAGTATAGCTATATGAAGTCTGCAAACACACACATACACACATACACACTGGCCCAGGCCCTGTGATCTGATTTTGAATGCAGCATCTTGTTTGATGTCTTTTTGATGATGGACATGAAATAATGTCCAAATCACCAGAGGCTGGAACATCAAAGAGATTCAAATGAAAACACGGTAATGTCTTTTCGGACTGAGCGTTATTGCTCCTTCATTTGCCACTGCCCCATGGAAGCTGGGCTTTGACTGCGCACAGATAAAAGATTAGTTGATAAATGAGGCACTTTCATCTCCAGCAAACTTTGACAAGTTTTTTCATTTACAGTGCAAACACTGCATGGCTAATATGCATCAGATAATCACAGATGGTAATGTCTGAAAGTCAAAAGGTGCAGGGAGCATCTGAAGAGGATGAATGGCTGGTTAGCATCACAGCAGGATAACGAGAGCCCAGGATATGCTGATCATTGTACCAAAGACCCTTCCAGTGTTATTGGGGAAAGGATGTGATCATTTATATATTGTTCAATTTCAGAATCCAATGTACTTTAAGATAATAGGGTGAGAGAGCTAATACAGAGCACAGGTGACTTAGTGATAATGAACCAATATATATGCATCATGCAAAACCGATCCTTATGCATCACAATTTTGTCTATTATGAAAACACAGGTGAGAAACCCCCCCCCCCCCCCCCCCCGAAGAGATAGTCTCATGTGAAGCGGACAGTGAGACGCTATGTCGATTCTACAGTGTTTATAATAAAGAAACTTTCACAGACAATGCCTGGCCCAGTCTCCGTGAAGCGTGAGGGGGTCATCGACTTTGCATTATTTCTGATTTATATCTGAGCAGAAGCCAAGTTTCCGAATAATTCACAGAGCAGTTGGGTGTCTCTCTGGACTTTCTGGACGTCTCTGTGTAAACCGAGAGGCTGATGTTCAAACAAAGAGGCAGAGAGCCATAGTGGACTCAGAGCTTTGCCTTGGCCTCAGCGTCAAGTCTCTTGACAGCAAACTGGCACCAAGCTCGAACTAATAAAGTGCACCACCCATATCCTACAGCGGCTGCATGTACTGTTTGTCTACTGAGTGTGTGTGTGTGGTCAGTTGGAGCGGGACACTTGGAAAGAAGCAAGTCACGGACGAAAGACATATCGAGCGCTAAATCGGCTAAATCTGCTAAATCTATGATGAGTCCCATCCACTCTGTCTCCTCTTCAGATGATGTGCTAACTGTTCAGCGCATGGAATGATTTAGACGGATATCACAAATGATTATCGGAGATCTTGTTAAGCTTGCATAATTACTGTCATTGTGTATTCTTAAAGTGGCAGTTATACGATGAGTCTATTCTGTATTTTAGAAAAACATTTTAAAACATAATTTTTGTATAGGTTTATATAATTCAGAATTGACTTGAAGTAGGCCTAATTGAGAACATATTCATTATCACAGGTTTCATTTTTCTAAATAATTTGACTGTTAAATCTTAAATACATATACACAAACATATACAAGTGAAATGTCTGGTAAACCTTGATTAAAACTTGATATTTGACTTTATTATTTGGTTATAATCTCAATGAGAAATTACATAAAGAAACACAATAGTAATGTCTACTGTCATACTGACAAATTCAGTACATTTTGTAAAATGTAACCTTAGTTTGCCTATTAAAAGCAAAATAATAAAACATTTACATGGATATGAAAAAATAATAAACTGGGCCCTTTAAAGATTAAATCAAAGAAAAGTGTCTCTGAAAGAAGCTTGTTCTCTGATCACCTTATAGCAGTAGGCTATGTGTGATATCTTGAAGATTCAAATAACTACCAAGTAGGTGTATGATGATTAATATGAGAAAAGTTGTCCAGTTTGGATTAAATGGAGGTCTGAGCTGTTAGGTCCGAGTTCACTCTGTCAGTAATGTGTACATTATGTTTTAGAGGCAGATTACACCACAAAGCAAAGAGCTCACCTGCCTGTTTCATTAGAGGTGTGGATCAGGGTTTTGGGCTGGTTCCTTGAGATCAACCTGGGAGCTTTGTCTTTATGAATCCATGGCTGGGAGGCTCACCATCTCCTGGAATCGGTGGATCGCTTAATAAAATACCTTTTAGAATCTGAAGTGAAACTAAATAAGATATGCGTATGTGGCTTCTGCTAGCTGGGAAACCTTCTCCCTATTATCTGAGAAATGCTAATCTTTAATAACTTTTTAAAACGTTGATACTCTTTCTCAAATTAAGTTTCTCTCAACCATGGATGTATCTCAACCATGATCTCAACGCGTATGCAACCGCTCCAACATGGCAGTTCTGAAAAATCGCGATATCACGTACGCTACTTCGCTACTTCGCTACTTGCACTGCAGAACTTCCGGTTGGTTTTTAGCGAAAAAGGGCATGTCTGAAACAAAACGTTTGACAACGTTAGCACAACTGTAGCTTCTAATAACATAAATAAAACCATCAATTTAAAACTTAAATCCATAGTTTAATAATGTATAACTTTATTAATTTCTATTTCAACTCGTTTTTCTCAGCAGTAGGCTACTGAATATATACATTAGGTTATTTATTTTTGACACACAAGTGTTAAAGGTTATTCAGATATAATGTTGTTCTGCTGCTGTAAATCCTCACTAAGCAACCAGAGGTGTATTAATCTACGGCTTAAAATAGTCCCCCAAAAAATGTAGCCTATTCCTGTTTCAACTTTTTTTAAAGACAAAAAGAGGAGAGTAGCATATTGGTACATAGTTTTTTAAGGGTAGGCTAATATCTTCATCAGGAACAGATGGGTTGAGTGCTGGTTCTCTAAGATATTGTTAGTTGTGTTGTTTTCATGGGATCTATTGTAAAAAATATTATGCAAACCATTAAAAAAGAGCCAGACATTTGCGAACAAGAAAAAATTCACATTTATTTGATATCAAACAGGAGTTGAATTAAATATCAGCTGATGATGGGCTCTTACAAAAGAAATAAAATGAACCTAACCAGTGCTGCAACAACTTTTCACACTTTCCAACCATGTTCTTTTTTTCCATTTTTTCTGAATAGTTCAGTTAATAAATTAATTAGTGTCAAAGGATGAAATATGTCCGCAAAAACTGCAATATCGCATTGATGTGAACATAAGTCTTTAAGCTGACGATTTCTTTCAAGTAAAATAAATTACACAAGTTTCCAATTCACTCCAAATCTGTGCATGGCCCGGTGTTAACAAATGTACTACTGGCAAAAACTCATCATTCATGAAAGCAAAAGCACTTCACAAGCAGATACGTGAGCATGATTTCATATGGACTGATATCTCGCAAAACTTTTTTTTTTTAATATTCAAACATAATACAATGAGTCAAGTGTGAGAGGAAAAAGTACATTTCCACGACTTTGAGTAATCTTGTCTGAATAATCTTATTGACATTGAAAGGGCATAACTACTGAATGGTTGCCTTTTTTTCTTTTGTTTTTCTTTCTTCTTTCTTTTTTTGACTTTTTACACTAGTGGTACAGCAAAATATATTTTCTTTAGCTGTTACTTTGACAACAGTTAAATGTGCAATAGAGAAAATATAAGGCCTGAGTCTGAATTAGTGGTTTCTTAACTTTAGAGTCTTGACTGTGTAGTGGAGCCACACTAGCTCTAGTTCTATACTTCATGACTAAAAAGACCCTGGTTCTGCAAAGTCCCCAAAGGATATGTCAGGAGTTTCATAGTTCTTTGCTTGGAGTATTTTTTTAATCCCTTATTCTTCGACAGTACAGTACAACAGAAAGGCCAGACTTTTCTCTGACAGCGTGTTATTCTCTGCACCTCTTTAGTCCAACAGCAGAGCTCTCACAGTCCACATTTGCCTGGTCTCGGATGAATGTGTTTTGTGTGTTAATGGTATCTGTGTGCAAAAGTCATTTCTTCATTTGTTTTCCCACCCAACAACATTTCACTTCCTGTCCTAAGAGAAAGGGCATGTGGAGTGCGGAGCCAGACTTGCCAGCTCTCTTGACATCAATGGAAAAGCAGCCATCTGTTCAAACCTGTGCAAACAAAGAGTGCCGAATCAGAGGCTGGTAATGAGCTGCATTTGTCCGTCGCTGGGTGCCTCTCCTTCCTGCGCACAGTCTTCATTGTTGGGCGGGAGGATGCATCCGTCGCTGGTACCTCGGTTTATGTGGTAGTAGGACATGGGCTGCGGCGCATCACCGAGTTCAGGCATGCTTTTGTGATACGCGTCCTCGCTCTCGCTTCGAGGTGAGGGGGAGAGCTCCTCTTCCTCCTCAGGGGGGTACGGCGAAGCTGAGGGCGAGGGTGAGTCTCTCAAGTTTGGCATGCTGGTGTAAAGGGAGTCTCTGTTATTGTTGGGTGAGTGGGAGCCCATGTCCTCCAATGCAGTAACAGTCTCAGAGCCATTGCCGCCCGGCCCCTCCAGGCGCCTGGGGGCCTTCTGGGCGCTGTAGAGCAGAGAGTGAGTCCTCTGGGGCAGAAGAGGGGCCTCCAACACCTCCTTGTGGTGGGGGTGCAGGAGCAGCTCCAGGGTGGCGTGGCCTCCTCGTCCACTTCCTATCTGGGGGGGTGATGCCTCAGCGTGATCCGCCACGATGGCGTCATCCTCGCTGCCGCTGCCACCCCCACCTCGGTCCACTGTCACCCTGGTCTGCGGGGGCAAGGCTCTGTCCTGCTCCCTCGGGGCGTCGCGGCCTTTTGGGGCCCCACGGGGCCTTAGGTTGTTGTGGACAATCTCAGATATAATCATCTTCTCGATGGCTGCATCATCAAGGTGGAGGCCCCCCAGGTCACCTGTGGCTCTGACGCTCACGGTCTGATAGTCATCGTCGCGCAGGGAGTAGCTGTTGTTGAAATTGCCATTGAGGGGGAGGGTGTCCATGGCACTGATGTCCCTGCTGTTGCTCAGAGAGTGCTGTCCTGCAAATAAAGGCAAAACGAATGTGTGAGATGAGATTTTTCCCTTTTTTGTGTAACTAAACAGTGTCTACTACACCATCCACATACAACTTGATACTGCTCAGGACACTTCACTCTTTTGCTCTTTGATCTCTGGGTTAATTTCATTTTTATGCAAATATTAAAAGCTTTGAAAATTCAAAGGAGAACCCAATCAGCTCTCTACAATGTCCATCCTCATTATGGCTGAATATCATTAAAGCCAATCTAAGAGATTATCCTGAACAATATTGGAGAAATGAGAACAAAGGGTGAATTAAAACTTTAAAAATACAGTACAGCAAAAAGTAGCACATGACCAGGTTGACAACACAGCACCATACGAAAAAAAGCAAAAAGGATAGAATGAGAGTAAAATAAATAAATGAATACAAGCTGATGGGGCAGTGTTGTGACATTAACAATTAATAAAACATTCCACCTGTTTAAAAAAAGGCAAGACAAAAGAGTAATGTCCAACACAGATGGCGAGCCACCTCTCCGCACCGGGGGCCCCACAAGCACAGCAACAACCCCCAACACACCACGACAGACAGGCACGGTGCAATGACTCACTTTGCCAACACTCACATCAAGTGTGTCTGCTCAGGCTATCTGGCCTAAGAACAGCTGATGTGCAAAAAAAGTAAAACAGATGCTTTTTTTCAATTGCAGCAGAAACAACAAAATCAGTGAAATAAGACCAAAGTGGGAAGCTTGTAACATCCAGCCTGGATTCAGTCAATCCAAAACCTTGTGTCCTTGCTATTAACTATAATTTAGCTCACATGATGCATTGCTCAAATTGTTGTAGGTGGATGGAGAATGACAGCAAAATGATGTGTTTATCAGTTTGAAAGAGCTAAAGGACAAATCAAGGACAACTGAATCCTGGACTCAGCAGGTGAAAGGGTTCAGCAGCAAGCACAGTCTTTTCTTTAAACGTCTACAGTGAAAGAAAGGAACATTTCCTGAAAGTAGTTGAATGCCACTTTGTTTGTTGTTGTGAAACACACACACACACACACACACACACACACACACACACACACACACACACACACACACACACACACACACACACACACACACACACACACACACACACACACACACACACACACACACACACACACACACACACACACACACACTCTTTTGTGCAGCCCGATGACTAAGCTCAAGTCGCAGGATGACAGTGAGGTAGGGTCGTTTGATTTGAGGATTTTTTTGCTATTTACTGGGTACACTTAAGGACTGTCAGTAAAAGGTTGATATTTTACAGGGTGAGGGTGATGTCGTCACAGGGAGAAAAAAACATGGGTAAACTGTATAAGCATGATAGCAACTGAGGGAAAACTGCTTTAAAAAAGACACCAAATACATTTCTAAAAAGAGTGAAATGAGCACAGAGAGCAAAAGTGCAAAAAAGCGGAAATTGGAAGGTCATTAGACACCTCTCCAAAAAGACCCGCCTTCAAATTTGCATTTTTTTATGTGCAGGCAGTGATTTTATTGCAGACAGGTACTGTCTACCGGGAGAGGGGGAAATGATGTGAACAGAATTCAACTGGACGCGGCGACAGCTGCACTCTGGGAACTGTTCCAGCAGCGATTCATCCAAGATGTTCTCCTTACTGATTTTACTGCATCGGATGAACATCTGCAGAGCATTACTTAGCATTAATACACTTATAATAGAAGACACGCTCATCCTTTCCAGGAGCTAAATGTAATGACTATAGCAGGCAACATTTTGAGAAAGCTTATGTTAAACTTGACAGTCTCTCACCGCTTATTTCATACTTGGTTGGTGATCTTCACACCAGGTTTTGACATTTGCGTGTCATGCTGCTGCCTGCTCTCCTCAAACTAGTTTCCATATGTTATATTGTTTTATCCTGTTTGTCACTGCTTCCTGACGCTCCTGTGTAAAACACAGCTAAGTGCAGCGGTTTGCCTCAGGGGGAGAAGTGGTTCTACAGGCAGAGACGATGTTTATTTATACTGACGTTCAAAATAACGTGCTAATTAAATATCAACACTTTTTATCTGTCTCTGGTGCTCCAATGTTAAAATGTAATTACTACAATGATTAAGCAGGTAAACATTTTAGGGCAATAAAGCACAAGCTGTCTGAACACACAGACTGGAGCATCGGAGCGGCTCGCCTGCTGCTTAGCTCACAGACAGAGAAAAAATGGTCTTTGATTTTCTTTGCAAACATTGTTTGGTCCCAACCCTGCTTCAGTATCTCCGAGTGTGAAGTGCTCTCGTTGTGCTGTAAGCCAGCTCGTAGCACAAAGCAGGACGGCAAAGGCTGCAGCAGGTTCAAGCTATAGATTATTGCAACTCCTATACTTACACACTCTGCCATTCTGCTGTTTTTGTATATTCTCTTTTATCATCAAATGCTTGGAATATCTGAGGGCTACGACTCTGCCCGCATTGCGTCATAAGCTTCTGTTTTTTCTTCTTCTTCTTTGATTGTTTTTTTTTGTGCTCTGCCAGTGAAGAACTAGGTCACCATAAACACTTGACATGATTTATTAAATCTATTAAAATTGTAGAAAACTGAAGACCATCTAAACATATATAAATATAATGTATACATATTATTCATGTGAAAAGGACAAAGGCATAAACGATTCGGAGCAACGGGTGAAGCTCATATTCAACTGAGAGGAATTCCCATCTGACTGCTCAGATATAGAGAAAAGATTGCATTGACGGGAGTTTATCTACTTCTGTGTTTACAAAGGGGAAACGTGCTTAGATAAGAACTTCTGAAAATGCAGAGGTGTGAATGGAGAACAACAAACAGTGAATCTAGAGTAATTATTCAAAACATTTTTAGTGCAAGCTGTGTCAGAGCCCAAACCTCAAGATTTTTCATGTTTTTTTTATAATCTAATCTAAATCACTTGAAGAAGAAAGTTCAAAGAGAAGATTAATACCACTGAAGCTACAGCTAACTGTTAGCTTAGCACAACAATGGAACCAGAGGGGAAACCTAGCCTTGCCTATCAGACTTCTTTTGTTTAATCAGTACAGAATATTAAGTGGAAAAACAATAATTTAGGAGATTTACAGGGATTATGTAGTGGACTGTGTTATTTACCAGGACGAGTAATGCCTTTGAGTCTCCCCTGGTTTCCTAGCAACTGGTCAGAGAATAGTCCAGCCCATAACTCCCTTCGTAAACTGGAGGGTTCCATTTTTATATTTGATGCATTAAACCAGTGGTACCCCCACAGACCTATCAGATGTTGTTCTGTTTTATCAACACCAGCCATCAGGTTCAAAATGTGTTAATTTGAATATTTCATTAACTGTCTCTTATAAAACGCTATTCACTATATTTGTTTTTTACGTTGTTAAAAAATATTCTCATACAATTAAATTGAGAATATTTAGGATGGTTTGGATTTTAAGTGTACATTTAACCATTTACATACTACTTTTAGTTAGCCAATCAATTGTAGCTTACTGTTTAGTCTTCTTTGCTCATTTGCTAAATATTCTGTAACGCTTTCAATTGAAACACACTGTGTTCAAGTTGGAACTGTATATTATATTGTGATTTTCTAATTAAATGATATATTTTATTTTATTTCTTTCTATAGCAGAGGTATAGTTAATAATCACTGAACTAAACAAACAAGATATAACCTGTTGTTTTTTTTAGCTTTACAGGTGCTGCTTAACAGATGCAAATTATATTTTTGTCCCCTAAAAAGTGAATTTGAACAGTCAACATTTTACCTTAAAACAAACACACACATGCATCCACACAAATCAATGTCAGAATAAAAGTGGAGGGAGGATGTGCACCTGGGGAGTGAAAGGCCGGTGGAGAGGGGGTGTTGCACACCACCGTTTCTGCCAGCAGGTTGTTATAAGGGTTAGTGTCGTGGGTTCGGAGGAGAGGGTTAGTTAGGAGGTAGTTGCCAGTCATCCCTGAAATAACAGGAGAGAGAGAAGGAAAAAAACAGTTGAGGAAAAAGAGCTGGAGGTACTGTACTTCATGGTCTGTGGTGGTGCGCTGGGTAGCTGTCGACATAAACAAACACTGACATTCGCTGTCCAAAATCTGACATCACATAAGATTTATAACCTACAATATGTCTGCCTTCTATTATGAACACAAAGCAGCCATAGAAACGTGGCTCATAGCAAGACATTATATAAACAGTCAGCTGATTTAACTGACAAACAATATTATCGCGACAAGTGTTGACCAAAGCATGGCAACACAATCATCTCCAGAGTTTATGTGAAACAAATCTATCTAAACAAACTCATCCAGTCAAGAAACTAGACAAAACATGTCTAAGGGGCCCGCCATAAATAATACAGTGTTCCTATCATCCTGATCATGCCTGTGGAAATCCTCAGAAATGGTATAACTAGTCTCAGTTATTTGGATGGATTGCTGAGAAACTTTGTACTGGCATGTGTTTAAAAAAATAATAATAATGAATTAATTAATAACTACAGCCAAATCTGCAAGGGCACAGTCTGCAGCCTGAGATGCTGGGATCTCTCCCAAAACCTTCTCTGACCTCAGTCTGACATTGATCATCTCCCCTACCTCTACCTCCATCCCGACAATCACTCTCAAGTGAAGATGAGTCAGGGAGGATGCTGCTAAGCAAGATTCGCTGAGATTTGAACTCAAGTTCTCATCAGTGCCTCGCAAATATCACGCCATTTCTGTCTCAGGTCCTCGCCTTTTACATGATCCAACCGAGCAGGAAAGCGTTGGAAAAGTGCTGTGAACTTTAGTACACAGGTAGCATTAAATGCTGTTTTTTTTTCAGTTGCTAAACACTAAGAGAAATGCAACATTAAAGCAGGGTTTCATCTGCCACTTTTCCCAGCTGCTGCAGAGCGGTGTAAGCTCCATTGAAGTGTTTATTGTGAACTCGGATCACAAAGTGAACGGCGTATATGTCTTTTGGTGGCAGTGGAAGAAACGCTTGCTTACCCTGGTTGAGCGTGGAGGTGCTGTTTATGTCTCCTGAGATAAAGGATGACTCCGACTGCTTTCTCACCGTGTCGTTCCACATCCGCCTGATGCGGCTCTGTGAACAGAGAAAAAGCAGCCATTGATCAGGGATTCAACATTGTGCCGCTGTTATTCAAGGCTTCTGGGGGAGGATGGAGCAGCTACGTGGGTTTTGAGCCCCTACACTTGTATATAGGATTCAAATAACCCCCTGCCTTATGATATGGTGACAATAAAAAAGACGGGAGACCAGTGTGTCAAATTCAAATTTAAGACAAAATCCTTTAGGTTTCTTTCTGTTCATGGTTAAAAGTATAAAATAATTTTTTTTAAAGGAAATGATTATAATAATTAAAGAAAATGCAATACAATAAACACAGCAGCATAATAATAAAACTATACACTAACAGTGCCGTAAAAAGAGCAATTAAATATATACAGGAAACATAGACAGTCACATAATTAATGTCTGCTAGCTACAATTTACTGGCCAATATACAGTATAACCTGTAAATTAAAAAACTGAATAATATTACTGCACTTGGAAAGGTAAAAAAAGGAAAGACAGTCCATAAAATAAATTAAATTCCACTGACATATAATTAACTGGAATGATTCTACATTAAAACATTTTCACGCATGGTGTTTCTAAAGCCTAATCTCCAATTTATCTAATTCCCAGGGTTGTCCACGCACCTGTGTTGCAGATGAGTAGCGGGCCGTGGATCGAGACGTGGCGGTCTTGGCTGCGCTGTGGGGGCCTTCTGATGGCAGCGCGCCGCAGCACTGGGACTGACGGAAACATTTGCTGTACTCTTTGCGGACCTGCAGAGAAGCAAAAGACCGGCACAGACTGAGCACACAGACAGCGAAACAACAATCCCCCTATGGGAGATGCAAATCCCAAATCTTCAAATCAAATGCCAACCAGCTGACAGCAGTTTAAATGCCATATCTGTAAGGACAGGGATAGCAAACACTGTGACGACGTGGGACACGTTGTAGAGAGGAAGCACTGTGATGTAAGAGTTGGTAAGGATGTATAAATATCATGAAAAGTCAAATCTCAAAATGTTGCAAAGTAAATGTTTACAGATCCACACCTGCAGAGCAAAGATGAGAGAGATATGGAGAGTCATTTGCAATTCTTGGCAGTTCCATGTTTACATTTTATTTCAGAGAGGCTTCCACTAGATATCCTTTGTATTGTTAATTATTTATTGGTAATTAATAAAACGTTTAGTTTTTGAAATGTCAGAAAAGTACCCTGGGCCGAAGATATTCGGAAAATCATCAAATAAGATAAGATAAGATAAGATGGACCTTTATTAATCCCCGTGGGGAAATTCAGTTGTACAAAGCAGCAACAGGATAAGCGTGAAAAAACAGGACAGCAAAGATTCACACAGATTAATAAAATAAAAAATAAAATCAAGAAAAAAATTAAAATAATAATGATAATAATTATAAATGAGTCGAATTGTTACTTTAAAAGTAGCTTTAATGATGAATTGATTATGAAAATAGAGGATTAAATCATTTTCTGTATATTGACTAATTGATTAGTCGGCTCCATGATTATGTAGAATAGTCCGTCTTTGAATTCGTACCTTTTTCTGGAGGAGGCAGTGGAAGATGAAGATAAACATCCCTTGCAGAGTGTTGAAGATAGTGAAGAGGTAAGCCATCACAATGGACGATTCATTGAGGAAGAGCAAGCCAAAGGACCAGGTGAGGCCCAACAGACAAAGTAGGGCAAACGCTCCCAACACCCACGACCTACAAAAGAAAGAGAGATATTAACGAGTGAAACTGTAGAGAGTTGCAGTAGTTTTCATGTTGGTTTGACGTTCCTCTGACCCTGGACAGCAGCTTGTTAAAAAAGGAAAGCAGAAGCTATTTTGCTTTTGGGCAAGTTGCTGCAGTGGCGGCATGGTGTGTAAATGCTGATACTAAGTTTTGGAATGAATGTGCATTTCTTATTTGACATTGAGTCAAAAAGTATTTCCTTGGTCCTTTCTTGGAATTGTTGGCTAAAGAGCATGCAAGCACAGCAGGTTCTTCCTCGGAGGCTTCCAGGAAAGCCTAGAGGAAATCAGATAACTTCAGCTTCAATAAAGATGCCTATTCGTTATTGATACACCAGAGAGAAGTGAGCCACGCTGAGAGAGATACGGCAGAGAGACGAAAGAAATGGAACAACAACATGTCACTGAGAGAGGATCCACACAAATAATGAGAGTGATGGCTCATTAGATCTGCTGTCCAGAATTTGGTGCTTTTTAAACAAGAATGAAATAAAATATTCTGAGTTATCAAACCAAGTGCAACCAATTATTTCCTCCCTATTTTTGCCAGTTACTATATGTGACACAATAATGAAATAAATAGCGGATTTGAGGTAGGCCCTAATTAATGATAGGTAATGAGTTTTGACTTCTTAAGATAACGTGTGATATCCAGCATTCCTAGATGTGGGCTTTCGGTGTGCCAAAAACAAACCTTAAAGCCAATCCAATGCCTCTTTTTCTGTGTTTTGGACCAAAATCAGAGCGGCTGCTAAAGAAAATAAGCGCCCACATAACATATGTTGGCCTGCCCTCAAACACATTGTTGAACAATAATCCAGGCAAAGAAATGGACAGGGATCTGTATTTTTATCGAGCAAATGCAGCACACTTAAAGTGGAAATATGGAGGAGGGAGACTTCTTCTTTTCCGTTTTCACCATTGCTAAATCTATACTTGGTGTCTCTGAATCTGTCTTTCAAGGAATTTGTTAAGTATGCCAGTAGAGGAGCAAAAAGATACCGAAAGGCCAGAAATACAGTTATGAAGAAAGAAAAAAAGGCAATATAACCCTGCATAGTGCAAATAGTGAAATGATAAAATGAAGGCAGCCCCTTAACGGAGGCAAATAAAATCTGAAAGGGAAAAATGTTGGTCCGGTCGGGTTTAAGAGAAGAAGAAATCCAATAAATGTGTTGGTCAAATGCGGCTTTTGAGATTCCAGGCGGGAGGCAAAAGCAGTAATGGTTCATATTACCCCCACTCAACACACACAGTTACACACACACACACACACATTTAGAGCAAGCAAACCACAGTGTGGCCACCTAATCTCCCAGTGGTCAGCGCTCACCTGATCCCCCCCAACCTGGTCGAGTCGGGTTTCATGGAGGTGGAGTGCTTCACCATCTTGAACATCGTCACCATCAGGAAGATGACATTGACCTGTCAAAACAGACGCATATCAGGGTTAACAGACAGCACTTAGAAAGGCATCAGTTTTCTGAAGCTGACAGCGGGGGTAGGAGGTACTCAGGTCTCTGACTTAAGTCAAAGCACTAATATCACACTGATTACATTCTCCACTACAGGTTAAAGTCCTGCCGTTAGGTGCTTTATTAGTAAAAGGATGTAAGTATAATCAGTCAATGAAAATCAAGTATTTAAAGAAATCAAATGAAAATACTCAATAAAAAATTATAATAATCATAAGTAGGAAAATACAATTTAATACACAAACCAATTGTATATTGAGTTTGGTTGTTCAATCAATAACAAAGGATCGTATTCTATAAGCTCTTATATATCGTCAAGTATTATTGGACTAAAGAGTATGATATTCCCTTTTCTGTAATGGAGTGGAAGTATAAACTGGTATGGAAACAATACTTAAGAACCTCAAATATGTACATGGTTGCTACCACTCAAATTGTAATTTTCTATCTACTTTAGATATGGATTCATCTACAATAGTTGGTTTTGCTCTATTATAACTGAACATCAGATTCCTTTACCAGGAGGATTGAAAAAATGTTTTGCTTCATCGCAGACTATAAAGCATACCGACTTCAAAAGAGATTAAAAAAAAAATGGTGGGAGTTTGACTTCTTTGGTCTACTTCACACAGCTCTGCCCTTCAAAATACTCTACGTCAAAAAACATTCTTGACTTGTTTGACAATATTTTCAATCTAAAAGTGCAGATCCTTGTTGAATACAAGAATGTATCTCTAAAGGAGTCCAAAGCAGACCTGATGTAGCACGGACATACCTTCGTAAAAAAACACAGAAAGGAAAGAATGGAGCTCAGTGCCATACTTTCGAAACAATTTTTACTGAAGCCAGGAAAAATATTTAAGTGATTCAAGCCATACGTTCAGAGAGGTTTCCATGCTTTCAGTATGACTCTCTAATTAAGGGAGAGCCCGAAAAGGAGGAGATGTGCTCCAATTTGGCCCGATACCTTTGAAATACAGTTCTTTAAAAGTTCTAAGAAAAACAAGTATTTGCACGGATTTCTAAGTTATTAAAACTGTTTATCCCTTATTTTCTCTGAGTGTGCATTTCAAAAAAGTGTGACCGCACATGAAGGAAAAATAAACAACACAAAAGTAGAGTTGGAAAGAAAACAAAGTGTAATGATCTCCAGGTAGTCTCGGTTTATACTTCATTTTCAGTTCTTCATTCACAAATAAGCAAGAAAGGATCCTGATTGTTTTCCCATATGGATGCATTCTGAGAACTACAAGGCAACGAAAGAAAGGGTCTTAAAATGGAACAAAGAGTGAGTGGAAAGCAGATGGAATCCAACAACAGCAGGGGAGAAGATGGAAGAAAAAAGGAGTGGCTTAGAAGAGGCTTTTAGATCACAGCTTAGAGTAATGCTGAGTTTTGTCTCCTAGTCACTGGGGCCGATTCTCGTCCGCATGAGTCGAGTGGCTGTAGATGCAGTTAACACAGCCGCGAGTGATGACACAGATCCGATGAGACAGACAGACACACGGACAGTCGGGGAAGCACTCTGCAGAAAGCTGAGGCAAACTACATATGGACTCCGCCCCCCTCCAGTCCCTGTCTCCAAGGGGCTGTCCGCTACAATATTCAGGTCTCTCACTCCTCTGCCAAATACAGCGCAAAAAAACAGCGCTGCCGACACAGCACTTCTCCCAGTTTCTGCATATATTTACAGCCTACGGACAGATTAACATGTGTGTTACCGTATGCGCCTATATGGAAACGCAATGTTTGTTCAGGGCTTTGTGCAGACATTCCTGCATGCATGTGTTATGTGTGTGTATTGAGAACACCCTGTGCAACACATCAAATATTAAAAGGTGAAGATGGAGATGTCCGTGTGCTGGGATTGGATGGGGACGTGTCATGATCCTCAGCAGGGCTATGAGCTGTGATAATGGTTGTCTGGCCCACCCACTCTTTACTTCCATGTTCACCCCCCCCCACCACCATCATCCTTGTTTTGCCACTGAGCAAATGACCTTCATGCCTGAGACGATTTCTCCTCCTGATTGCGCGAGGGGAGTATTCTCTAGATGTACAGCAAGGACCAAACAGCTTTGAGTTGTTGCTGCGCACCAATTCTGATTTCAGAGGATTTCATAGCTGAGTGGACACTGATGTCCTCGTGTCAGCTATAATGGGACCACTTTCCTTTCATGCAAATTGATCTGAGAAAGTAGAGCTAAGAGGCTGTCAGTACAGAGAGAGGGAGAAAATCTATAAACTGTTTTCAAAGATTTTCTTTGGAAGAAGAACAAAAAGAGGTTATCACAAAACATTTCAACTCACCACAATGATTAAGGTCACAGGTCCAATGAAGCTCCAGATGAAATGGTTATCAACCCTCAGCCAGCATCTAAAGGGTGCAAAAGAGGATATTCAGTTCACGAAATTATCTCATTGCCAAAACACAGTTGTGTCTCATCGATCAGGTCCCAGCAGAGCCGGCTGCATGATACACCACAGCAACAGCATAGAGACTCCTCTGACCACAGAGAAGAAAACCCGACCTTGAGGGAGCGCTGGCCCCGTGCCATGAGAAGCTGCAGTCTAAAAGCCAGCGGTTATTGGACTCATGACTTCACGGTCTATAAATGTGGGATGTCTGACTGTGTGTATACCTTAGAGTCTGAACAGTAAACAATGTATTGTAGACAGTTCAAGAATGAATTGCACTTGCGTCTGTGTTTATCACCAGGAAACAGAAACGAAGTGAAGACTACAGCCATAAAATAGAGTTTGAAAAAACGTTAGCCTAAATTCCATAAATTAGAGGATTGCAGACTTACAAATCATAAAACGTGCTGCTTGGATGAAGACCAGCAGAGGAAGTGCATACACTTTTAACTGACAAGGGTGGCAATTATCCACATGCAAAGAATAAAAAAAACCAGCAGGCTGGTGCAGCTAGCCAGCGCGTTCATTAAGGTTGCAGCTTTGCTCACAGCCTCACAGAAATGTACACCCCGTCACAGCTGCGACAGGGTGTACATTTACTAAGGGGCAGAGGTTCACCACTCTTTGGGATATTAATATCATTAGCACACACATGCATGCTGATGGGGAGAAGGGAAGACTAATGTTCCTCATTTTATTCAACAAAATAGGAATCCCTACAAAGATGTCACACTTACGCCCGCTGGGTGCCATAGCCTCTGTAGTCGATGGCGGCTGAGATTCCCACAACCACAGCCGGAATGAGGTACCCAGAGATGTAATAGTACTTCCTGCGCGAGAACTCGCTCTCAAACACCTCGACCAGCATGAGGTACAGCTGCACACCCTCCAGACACATCCAGGCGAACGCAGCCAGGAAGCAGAAGTGGAGAACACCGGCAATGATGGAGCACACCAGCTGACAGGAACAAACATGCAGACATTACACTCAAATGTAAGAGGTTGTTCAAAGGGATAGAGGAATCTGACTTTTCCTTTTATTTTAAAAGCTCAATAAATGGTGATAGTAGCCCAGATTAGTAAGATCTGTACAGGATCAATTAGTGGGTCTATTTAAAGCTGACCCAATCAATATTTTTGATTGGATCTAATGACTACATGTAATGTGAAAGGGGTTGCTTAAGGTTTTTTGTATTTTTCAGCTCAATGTTTTGCTGAAGCAGCAGCAGGCAGCTGTTGACAGCAAAGAACCTTTGATAACCAACTATGCACTACCTGCCTGGAACACAGACAAACAGCTTTAGCTGCCAAAGAGCTAAATATTTCCCTCAGGAGTTTGTAGAGACAAAATCAGAGCTAAAGGAGAGTGAATATTGGCCTTAGATTCATCAGGTGGGCAGAAACACTGCAGTGCTCCACATGAATGTTAATGTTACTGGGTTTCTGCTGGATGTGTAGAAAGGCTTACACCTTTATAAGGTGATGGAGTGGCAATGTTTAAATGTATTTATATCACCACTTGTTCTCAGAAATGACATTACAGTATATATGTAAAATATATATTTGGTAAAAATGTTAGTGTTAGACATTATTGAGCAAATACTCAATTAAAATGGGTATCTTACATTTCACTAAATTAGCTTAGCTAAGCTGTGACGGAGCAGATCACAGAGTGACTGACTCCGCCACTGACAGCCGCAGCGGCGACACACACACACACAGCGAACGGAGTTTCGCCGCCGTCTCCCCAGCAAAGGGAATGTGGAAAAGACGGAGGCGCATCACTTCCGTGATTTAAATAGGATATCATGAACCATGCAATTTATTATTTCTTTTGCGTTTATTAATTATGGGGAATGATTGTGTTAAGAGATAGTTAACCTGTTTATGTTTGGGTCGGATAGTTTTCTCATGTTTGAGGGATTACATTTATGTTGACAATGTGGTTTTGAGTTAATTGTGTAACCTGTTGACGGTAAGCCTGTGGGGAGGGGCTATGGGTTCAAAAGGGACGGTGTTGGCCCTGGAAGAGTCATTCGGGAGATTGTTGCAGTGAAGGCAACAGCTAGAATGTGTTTACTCCATGAGTGATAGACAACCTAATTTGGTAACTTTAATTTTGTTTATTTAAGTTATACTGTTTCACTTTTATCAAACAGTATTTTTTTGTTGCTGTTATAAATAAAGTTTTGAAGCTTAAATCAACCGACTAAGCCTATGTTTTCAAACGGACAAATAGAACCCCGTCACATAAGCTAATAATAATAGTAAAAAAAACTGTATACATATATATAAAATCATCAATACAATGGTCCTTAGAATCCACACTGTGAAACAAAGCTTTGTTCAAAGCCACATCTTTTTATTTTAAGTTTGACTAAAGATGCAAAAGTTTTCAAAGACCTAAATAATGCAGGAGAACTGTATATTAGCTAATGTATGGAATATTTGTATATGGTAAAATAGTGAAGCTTTAGAAACCCTTCCCCCCAAATACATCCCGAGTTTGAACATTTTACTCAGAGTCAGCATCATAGATTCATTGAAGTGTTGGAACTATAAAGATAGAGTATTTATATGTGGAATTTAAATATAATGTGGATTGTATGCTAACCTAACAGCCACCTACCTTTGGCTCTGTCATGTTGATGCCCACGAGGTAGACGAGCTCGCCGATGAACAGGTTGAGGCAGAGGTTTTTGTGGATGGTGTTGCGGTCGCTTTGTAGACCTCTGAAGAAGCAGAATGTGAAGAGGCTGATGGCAAGGCAGACGAGAGACACAGCGATACCCATCCGGGTGATAACGGTGAGCAGAAGATCATGGACGCTTCCTTCCCCCTAAAGAGAATGAGACACATTGTCTGAGAACAGAAGCAGGTTTTGCATGCTGTGTTCCTCCTGTTCAAAAAACCCATTAAAATCTCCCTTTCTAAGATTTGGTGCAAAATCCAGTTCCTGTGAGTTAGACAAAAGATGTACATTTCTTTCAAAGTTACAGTTTTTCTGTGTGGTAACTATGTTTCACTGTTGCAATGGAGATAGTATTACAAAAACAGTTAATTCTGTACAAAAAATACATAACTTTAGAAGATATGCACTCAATTTGAGCAACTCAGACACCGTTGGTGCCTTATATTAGATCCAGCGACCCTAATCCTTTACCCTGATCCTACCTGATGACATTTGGCACTAAAAGAATGAACATGCTTTGATCGCATGATGGCCATGTGGCAGAAAGCATCAGTTTTAAAAACGACCACAAAAACCACGTGATTGAACGTCCACATGTTGGTTCTCCTTTTTGAGGTGAAATCATGCAGTGTTTCAATACATTTTAAACTGAGCCTCTTTCAAGATGGGCAGCAGGCAAATGTGAAAATAGCAGACCTGACCATACAATTGCCACTCAAGGACATGGTGGCCCGAAAGTGAGGCAATTCCTGCTGTGATATCCGTAATTTTATTGAGGGCAGGAGTTGCAGTTGAGGTGATGTGCAGGGAATTGGTGTGAGGCTAAGCCTTTCCTCGGGGCTCTGGTTTCGAGCTGTGGTTAAGGTTGAGGTTAAGACAGATGACAGGGACAGAGTTCATGAAATGGGACGTATTATTAAAAGAACCACAAACTTATCCTTCACATTTATTACTGGCTAGGTCCCCGCCACACATGCTATTTATCATGTAATTGGATTGTAATTGCATTTCTCTACCAAATGGATCCTACACCACTTCAAGCGGGGTGGAAACACAAGTTAAATCTGAGGTTATACTGCGCCTTATGATTCTCAGGAACATATGCATGGAGGAATAATAGACACGGACCATAGGTAAAATATAATTACCTCTGATAATGGTATGGCTCTTCCTATCCTGATCCACAATCTCGCTCTTTTAAAGTGACAGCACGCTTCCTATTCCCAACCTCCTCCCCCACCCGTACCTTCTCCTCCAGCAATAATCTAATTATCTCCACTGAAATGCCATTCTTGTTCTTTGCCGTGTGCAAAAATCTGTCAGCGAGACGGAAGAACAACCAACTGAAACAGAAAAATAGACCCTGCAAACCACAAGGAGTGGGCCACTTACCACATTTCCCCGATGAGCCATGAGGATGGCGAAGTTGGTCAAGTGACTGCAGGAGCAAGTGGTGTGGCTCTTGTTGGTGTCCAGCAGTTTACAGCCCTGAGTAGACCAGTATCCCATCATGCTACGCTCTGAGTAATTCCAGAAGGAACAGTTGGGGTTGTGGTAGTGTATCTTCTACAAAACGCAAACACAGAGAGAGAGAGAGAGACGATTAAACATATACGAACATGCGCTGCACTATGCATGATTGTACACATATATCTCTGGCTGAAAGAAACAGGAAGTCAGTGTACCTGATGGGTACACTGTGTTCATGTGTGCTTTACCCATAAGCATGTGCTAACACAATTATTTAAATACAATCTATGGTTGGAAGAAAAATATCCAAATAAAGAAAGGTTTTGCCAGCTTCCAAGCACAGAAGAAGCATGACTTGCATCTCTACTTCTAGCACTATCACCACCCGTACTGTAACACCGGCATAATATAGATGACTTCTCTTTACTCCAACAGTTTTTCTACAACAATGATCCATCAAAAGGCTTCATTCGCCCTTCACTTCAACAGTTTTTTGCAGCTGTTTCAGCTCTACAGTGTGGTCTGGGTGAGTCCCAGGAGAAGGCTTACATCCAGGTGCTCCAGTGTGAAGATCACGGGGTCTGCCACAAACACTCGGCTGGACTCCTTGGTGATAGAAGCCGACAGGATGTGGGAGTTGACGGTGAGGGAGATGTTGCGTTTGCTCAGGTCCCCCATTCCCCTCAGTGTGGCGTTCTCGGTGCTGAGGAACTGACCCAGGTGTTTGTAGAGAACGAATACCAGCTTCGCCACACCTGCAACCGGCAATAAAACAATCATCAGACATACATACAGCAGCATGAATCACAAACAAAGGATGTGTTCATTCATTGATTTTGTAGTCATGGGCAAAATATTAAATAAATACTTTCAGATTTTGGGAACAACTTGTCATAACAATGATTACATTTTTTATTTCTCACCATTTTTACTGTTGATCTTGACCGTGTTGGAGGAAAGCCGTAGAGACGCTCCACCCTTGCTTGTCTGAGGAAACCTGAAGTCTTGCACCTGACCGTCGGTGCTTAACACATACACATCCAACACTGAGAGATGGTAGAACGTGAGGGGAATGAGAAAGAGGGATGTATTACTCATTGGGAATAATCTCAAAAGCGATACGTGGAAATACGTGGTGTTTAACAGAGCTCCCGTAATTCTGAGCGGGGTGTGTGTAAAGACTCAAGGTTCATTGTATCAGTAACAGAATCTTATGTTATTGTCCAGACCCCGTAGAGTGTCATTTACTTAAAAAACCATGTCGCTAAGCTGTTAGTTGGCATTGTGAAAGCCTCCGAGGCAGGAACTAACAGATAAAATAACAACAAGGGCAGTGATAGAGGATGAGCAAATGCAAGCATGCAGCCTACTGCAGCATGAATGTCAAATATTCATAGGATCAAAAATATCATTGAGCTTTTACTTTTACTTTTTTCTCCCCTGTGGGTTCAGATAACTCTGGGCTCGACAAGCAAATCTCTGAAAATCCTCCAAATTCCAGCAGCCCCTCTCTCCGGCATGCCAGCTGCCGGGTGGTGTTCCCTTTGATGTGTGAAATTACTGAGGGGTCAGGAGGACACACGTATCAGCACACTCCCTCCCATCAGAAATGGCCTCACTTCCTCAGATAGATGGCTTCTGACAGTCGGAGATGAGGAATTGTCTCTGGTTGCACCTCTCCTCAGTGTCGTTTCTACTTCTCTTCCCCTCCCCTCTTCTTGCCCTTGTTGCATGCCTCGAGGTGCCGTTTTTTTTTTCTTTTTTCGACAAACTGCTAATTAGGAGCAACAATAATTTTCACATTTTTTTCCAAGTCATCAAGGAAGGTTAGGTAAGCTGCTCTCGGAGATTGTGTGTTTCTTCATATGGCTGTTTTCATGTTTCTCTGCTGGAATATTATCTCTAATATGCAGATAAGCAAGAGCTTGAGAAGCTCATAAAAACGGCCTGATGCGGTGATTAAGTGTCCAATATACAGCATATTACACAATGTATTAATCAGTGCTTTTGGAAGAGACACAGCAACTAGTCCTTATCAGCTTAGCTAACTGCCACTTAATGGGAAAGGCTTGGAGAGAACTGATAGAGTGCCGTGTGAATGGAACAATGCTATTCAAATGGTTTCTTTGTTTTCCCCCAGAGGTCTGGACAGTTCTTCTTTCAGCACATATTCAATGAGGTGACTTTACTATGCAAAGCAAAAATATAAAAAATCAATGAGGTATAAGACAAAAGGGTGAGTAGGAGACCATAACCATAGCAACGAAGAGCTATGAGTATAAGTATGACAGTCTACACAAAACAGCCTTAAATGAATGAGACCATGTTGCTAATAAACTGCCTGCCAGGGCATATTTTCTTGTTGTTTTGGATAAATCTAGTGATTGTATGTCAGTGAAATATGGCCCTATTAAAAATAATATTCTCCTTTGGGAATAGCAACAAAAAACAAACCCTGAAGACAATTTTACCACACAGTTTGAAACACTTTTAAAGAGATTGATCACGGCCCAAAAATAATAAATAAGGATTAGCATCACAATTGTGACTGACAGAAATGTTCCTGTTATTTTTTTGTTTTATAGATGTTGGAGAAGGACTTACTGATATTCTCTGCGGGTACTTTAACTATCGCTGGCTCAATCAGGTTTTCAGCAAGGACAAATGCCCCTTCCTCCAGGGTATCCAGTAGCATGGTGGCGGCGTGCGATTGTTCCGTGGAATTCATGTCTTTCCAGGATTCCAGAGCTTCCGGCCTCAGGAGGTTGTCAACAGTGTCCACGATTGCCTGTATCCATGGAGACAAGTGAAATGTCAGCTCGCTGTTTCCTCCGATCATAACTTCAGTTTAATAACAAAGAGCAGGATCGGGCAGCAAATAACAGAAAGGGCATGCATGGCTAACAGTGACAGCAGCAACAAGGACTGACACTGAAATATCAACATCACTCTGACTGAGGGTTCAAGGAAGACAAGGGTAACTAAAATAATAATGATGATAAAAAATGCAGTATGTTTTATTTAATATTCTGTTTATGAAAAAAAGGCTTAATCAAAGGAAACCTCTTTTGGACGACTTTCTTTATTGAATAATGTAAAAATGCTTGAGGGGATGTAAAATACAAACCAAATGTTTTGCTTTTCTCTTTATTGAATGAAGCTGCCTACAAAGCTTCTTTCTCAGTTCTTTATTTTTAAGAAGCTATTTTCCAAACAATTACCACCATAAATCACAGTGCTATTTCCCTAAGCGGATCTGCCCATAATGGCCTTGAACACTTTTCTCCTGGAGGAAAGTGGGCATTATCATGTAATCCATGTCCAGAGTGGCAGTTTGAGTCAAGATGGGGGAACATTTCTGCTTGTTTTCAATGGCAATCCTTTCATTTCCTGCTTTATGATAAGCAGTAAGTAAGCAAAACATTCCACCAAACCCACACAAGTATCATATGTTGATAAAACAGGAGTTTCCTTTGACCCTGGAAGAGTTCATGACTCCTGCCTGACACAACAGCCTCAATTTCCCAAATCCCACCAAACACAGACAGTTTTACAAAGATTCAGAATCTAGCTCAACCCCTGGAATAAATCAGAGTGACAATTTAACCATAGGTGCCATTAACCACAGCAAGGCCCACCACAATAACGGTAATTAACCACAACAAGCCCTGCTCACTGTACCAATTAGTCACAGCTGTGATTATCCAAAACACTAATTGACCACAGACAGGATTATCCGTTTGCCTGAAATAACAAGAAAGGAAATCAACCAAAGTCTGCACCACTATATGATTAACCGCAACAATTACCCACTGAGCTCATATTAAGCACAGCCATGATGACTGTTTCCAGACGCAGGGCTCTCGGCGTGTCTTAATATCTCGTCCAGAGCACAGAAATCAATCTCTATGGCCTTGACCTTGCAGGCCACTGGAAGCCTGTGAGCTGTGACTATGATGGGAGTAAGTGTCCATGTGTCCGTGTGGGTATGCGCAGGAGAGAGAACAGTGGCTATTATAGGGTAGGAGCCATTACAAGAGACAGACAATAAATGCCCCCCTCCCCCGGTGAGCCATCCTCAAAGGAGCCATGAAATCGAAAGGGGGAATAAAATCTTGTCTCTAATTTGTGAAGCACCGGAAGAATCGGTATATGGACTGACTCCTATTTAATTCTCGCCTTGGCGGAGGTCACTTTGCAAATCACAGGGGTGCTACCAGTGGAGCTACCATAACTCGCTATAGATAGTGAAATGAAATGAGCTCAGCTAACAAGCCATCACTGTCTAAGGGCTACAACCTATTATGAACATAACAGTTACACAAGAACTAGCAGTAAAGCTAGCAGATCTGTGAGGCTGTACTTGAAGGCTTTTCTTTTAGCTAAATGCTAACATTAGCCTTAAAACTATTACTATTACGATGCAACGTTTGCCAGGTGTAAAGTTCAGCACTTAGTGGGATAGCAGGTTAACATTGATAATTAGAACTGCACACAAGGTTCAAATGAGGCAGATGGTACATTTAGCAATTTGGACAAATTCAAATTTAGACCAAATGATAGGGTTTAGGGCATCACCGAAGTTATGGGAATTCATCCTTAGGGGGAACGTGAATGTCTAAATGTTATGCAAATCCATCAGATAGCTGTTGAGAATTTTTTCTTAAAGGGTAACCTACACATGAAAGTCTGTTTACAGGTCTTGAGATGATGTTTGTGGTTCAGCTGCCTTGATTTTGATATATTCTTCAAACTGTCTAACATAAGTCTCACAATGTTACAGGAGTCCAACGCTAAACCCCTGTCTTTTTAAACCACAAATTCCAACCTCATGGGGCCTCAACATGAAAAGCGAGGGGATCAACAAAGTCATTAGGATTCCTTCTCTGGGCATCATGAATGTCTGTAGAAATGTTTCCTGGCAATCCATTCTACGGTTATAGAGATATTTCATTCTGGATCAAAGTGGTCTAGGCCTAGAGATAGACTGGCCGACAAGACCTTCCATAGAGCTATGCTGCTAGCACTGCTAAACATATATTTGTAGGGAAATGTAATGCCTTTTTCTCTCAGTAAAATAAGACCCTCAAACTTGTAGGGGCCCCCATGAGCCACTGACAGAAACAAAATCTGTTCATTTGTATAATGCCATGCAAGGCATCTTCTCCCCAGTGTTTACACCATGCCCTTGTCTTTCAGCAGAACCTAACCGAGGAAATATTTCTCAGCACAGCAGAGGAAAAAGACAAAAAATTCGAATTGAACACAAACATATTAACAGGCTCAGAAATTAATCTCACAGATAGCACACGGCTGCACCGGGTGGAGGAGATTTTTTTTGTGTTATGGGGACAAGGGAAACTAGAAATTGTACATTATAAGCAAGTGAAAATTGAGCACACTGCCACTTTGATCACACTTCTGGCTGACAGGGAGGTGCAATTACGACCGTGGGAAGGCAATTATTCACACAATGTATGAAGAGTCGACAAGAGAGAGAAAAAGAGTGGGGGATGAGGAAAAGGAGGAGAAATAAAAAAAAGAAGGAAAGATTTACAAGTGATAGCACGCAGAGGAGGGGAAACAGGACAAAGACGGAGTGATATTGACAGTAGCGTCCTCAGTTGGACAGAATGAAGGGGGAACAGACAGCCGAGTCAGAGGAGGAAGCAGCTACATCTTGTACAAGCAGGTCACCAGGCACAAACTGTAACAAGACAATCAAGGACATGGAGACAGACACTGCTGCATGCTGTTGGTAAGGCATTAGGGATCGGGGTACAAAAGCAACACGGAAAGCCTGCAGTAGTAGTTATACCTTCATGTACGCCCTGCATGTCTTCTCTCTTTTTTGAAGCTTTTCCACAAAACAAGAGGATCAAGCACAAAAGACAGATTGTAGAAAGAGGTGGTAAGAACACAGGAAGCATTAAGTCATGCCACTTACCATAACATACAGAAGTAATGAAAAGAAGAAAAGGCACAGGTCTATAAACTACAACCTTGAAATGCCTCGACGGCTATAAATGTTTTCAAGGGAATTCTAAATATGTATATTAGTGAGGGGAAGAGATGAGAAATGCACAGCTATGTAGGGAAAATGCTGAGACTAGATTCTGATGCTCCCAATTAGTGATGCTTTAAAATAAATTGAAAAATAAAATATGTGTGATGAGGCCATTTGTATTTCATGGCATGGAGATGGATTACTTTATATTAAAACCCTTTGTTTGTATCTTGGGATAAAATAAATCTCTATCTCCTACCTAATTGAGTCCAACCGAAGAAAATCACATACAGTGGCTTTCACACAGAATTGGAAAACAAAGAGATGAAATTTTATTATATATTACAACTTTTACATAATAAACACCTCCTGGAAACACTAACACAGGAAAATATTTCTTCAACCGAAACAAGGTTGCTGCCATGTGCACCACCATTTACCACTTGTTGCTTTGTGGGAAAGGGCTGCATGCCACTTAAAGGACCATATCATTGTTTAAGCTACTTCAGTACAAATCATGAACGTGTGATTTGTCGTTAACACAACAAAACTAGCTAATGTCCTTTAACTGTTGTCAATGTTGCTTGTCATCAGTCAATCACAAGCCTTTTTATTTTTATTTTGATGTACACCTCAGTTGGAAACCTGTTCTGATCTTCAAAAACAATGTAGGTGTCTTGAACATAAAAGGCACAAAACAGGGGCATCATTCTGGTGCAAATAACCTTGTTTACAGAGCAACTGATGTCTAGAAAGTCTGAATAACAATGTAATTTTTCAATCTGTCACTCATCTCTCCATGGGACTGCCTGCAGCTGAGAGCTGTAAGTACGTCTTGGGCCTACTCCTTTCCTGACGAGCGAGGAAGCAGTTCCACACTTGTCAGCAATGAAGAGTTATTCTTTGTGTTGTAAGGGGGCTCATGGCCATTAGCTTCTTTAAGGTAAAACTGCCAGGTGAGCCTGGGTTTCCAAAGCCGGTAATTACTAGGGAGCTGTAGAGGAATGAGATCCCCTCAGGGCTAGACCTGCCTTCCTAGCCCCCTCACCCGAGACTCTGCGTGTCCATGAATGTGTGTGAGTGCATGCATGTGTTTTGTGTGTATTAGTAGGTGTCCTGCTAATGACGTCCTGAATCATGCTGACAGAGTTGGGGGGAAAAGGGAGACAGAGCCAATGCTAGACATGAATTTCACAGTACCTTGTTGAAGCTGCGCCCAGCTGAGTCTTTCTCGCTGGGTCTGAGCTCCTGCAGCTGAGCATCCAGGATATCCACGAGCTGCTCCATCAGACGCACCGAGGAGCTGACGTCTCCGGCAAACACCGGGCCCTGTGTGTGCCGTGCCAGCTCATTGGCTAAATTAGCAGCATTTTCGCCACTCCGAATCTAAAAACAGCAACAAGGGAAAACAGGCGGGTGTCAGAGAAGCAGGCCTGAGATGCTTCTGCAAGCTGAAGCTGAAATAATGTATCCCGCATACACCCGGAGAGTCACAACCCATTGCTTGTTCAGGAGGAAAGAAAGTAACTGTGTGCAGGCTGAATATAAACACAAGGACGCATGTTTATCGCGGAACGTAATGGCATGACTGTAACACACAAGCTGAAGAAAAGAAAAGAAAAATCTGAATCAATAAGCTGTCAGTGTTTACTCATCGGTGATCAGTGTGTTCATAGCTGTTATTTTACAGCCCTCCTGCATGCCTTGACTTAGCTTTGACCCAATTCCATACTAAATCCATAGAGTATATACCGTATACTTATTTCCATGCTATAAAGCTTTTGCACTTTGTATACAAGAAATCAATTTACTCTTCCATTTTGTACTGAGAGGGAAATGAAGCAATACATGCAAGCATCAATCAAAATGTGACTTTGGACTTGCACTGCCAATTAAACTTCACAAGGAGAAAGCTAATGCAGCGTTCATGTCATTTCATACAGACAACGGCTACGAGTGACTGAGTGGGAGCAACATGCATGCCAAATATCAGTATATCTCCCACTTAGAGAAAATAACATAACAGTTTGTATAATGGCTGCAAAACCACCATTATGGGGAATTGATATATAATAATAATTCAATGCCATTTCTAATAGAATCAATTCATTCAATCATACACATTATGTATCTGCTTTCACTTGAGTATGAGAAAATATGTTTAGAAAAAATATCTAACCAAGGCTAATATTTATCTCGTGTCACTAGGTAGGTTTTACCCTTATTCTCAATGTGGCAACATGGCATGTTTGCAGTTAATGGGTTTTCAGACATATCATATTGAAGCTTTAACACAATTTATTTGAGTGTTTTGCATTTGCGAGAAGCTTCTATGTACACAAATTGTGTCGTAAAACACACTCTTTGTTAAGCTGATTTCCTGTGGCTACTGCTTGTTTCTTTAATATGCTATACTTCAAAAACCTATAATTAGTCATTGTGGCAATGCCAGCTACCAAAAGCCCTCTCTGAACCTCCTGCAGGTGCAAAGTGTTTTTCAGGTCGAGAGAAATCTCCTCAGAATGCAATATGTTGTGTGTTTGTGTTGCATTACGGTCTGTTCAGGCTACTGAAATCGTTATCTGTGTGCGTCTTCATTAGATTTCTACCTGCATGACTGTGGAACTTCAAAGCAGATGAGTCAGAAAAGAAAGAAGCTCTGGCTCTTTGATTCTCAGATACTGACGGCAGAACATAGCATTTACTCTTGATAGCTAATTTATTTTTGCCATCACAATAAGCTACACTTTAAAAAAAGGCTTTTCATCTTATTTACTCCAGACCGCTCTCTGCTAGTATTCGGAAAAATAAAGAAAGCAAGCAAAAGGGTCAAAAATTGCCACTAGATGTTTTATGTTTTGGCGTGTAACATGTTTTTTGCTGCTATATTTTGTAACTGACACATTGCTGTTTTACCTGTTGTGCCACTTGATTCACCCAGTGGGAGGTGCAGTTGCTGAGGTCTGGTCCTTTGGAGCACCAGGCCCCTGCCACAGTGCAGAGGAAGGAGGCGATGCCTGCAGTAACACAGAATAAACACAACAGTTGGAGGGAAGCCAAAACCTTTGCTCAGATGCAGTTCCTCCCGCTGATCCCTCATTCATACAGACTCTCTGGTGCAGGAAACTAACTGTTTAGCAGAAGCAACCACTTCCAAACAATTTGAAAGGGCTGCAGGCTTTGTACAGTCTACAAAAACAGAAAAAGACGTAGGAGGCATACTAAAACATTATCAGGTTCCTACATTGCTTGGACAAACCTGGCAAACAAAGGTCTGTTATTGAATGTAAACATTTCAGTACTGTAAACATTGTATATGCCATGCATGTCAAAATATTCCTAATGAACGCCACTTCACTGACAACAGTGACAACATACATTATACAAACTAAGACTCGTTCCCTTTTCACCCCCACAATCAAAACATTGTCTCTTTTTCACTTTCATCCCACAATAGCCCTGCTTTTTCTGTTGACAGTCATGTCAGTCTCTGAGATGAGGTGTTAAGGTAACTTGTGAGGGATTCCTGTGTGAGCATCATTGTCAACTGAACTGGTACAACAGCACAATGATCCACTTAATGCTGGCTTCCTATACTCGCAGAATAAATTATAATGTGAGAAATAACTAGGAACACACTGTCTGAATGTAATTAAGACACAATGTAGACATTGGATTTTGGCGGGGCTTTCTAATTCATAACTTCCCAAATTATATCCATTAACTTCATTGGTTTCTGTGCTCTGTTAGGAGGGAAATGAGGCAGAGACAGAACAGATAGATCCGCGAACCAAATAGCCCCTGTTTGAGGGATTTTGTTACGCTGTAATAGGGAAATGGGCATTTTTCTCTCCCTGTGCTCTTATAGGGTTTCAAAATTACACACAAATAGGAGCAGCTTTACCATTTGTTCAGGGAAGTGACAAGGCTCTAATCATGCTACATTATAGTTTAACATCTGACATGCCCACTGGGTAAAATGTCATATACTTAATAGATTGATGCAATGCAAATAACCATATTCCTTGCAGCTTTCTTCCTGATCATTTGTAGGCTGAGAGTGTGATTCTGACACTGTTTGAAATGCTTGATTGTTAATGAAAAAAGAGGGGGGGAAAACGCTTACAGTTGACCTACTACAGAGTGGTAGTAGCAAATAATCAAGATTATTCAAAATAGCTAGACTTGATGTAGATGAAAATATAGCAAAAACATGTGAACCTGATTGTACAATCAAATGCTTTTGACCTTTTGCATTTCCTTATTCTTAGAAAACCATAAAATCATGTAACTACATTTTTATGTTTTTGTTCACAATACTGTTTCTGAAAATGACACAACTAGCATCCTGCAGAGAGAACATCTGGGGGGGAAAAGGTTTAGAAAATCAAAACAAATATTTTCCCTATTTACAGTTGGGTTTCTTTGGAAGTTTGTCCTTGTCAGATGTGAGGGTCCAAGGACAGAGGGTGTCATATTCTGTACAAACTGTAAAGTCCACTGAGACAAATGTAAAATGTATCGGGCTACATAAATAAACTTTGATTGATTGATATTAGAATTCACTGTAAATGTAATGGGGGGCCTACCTCTGGTCCCTTTAGGACAGGGCCTCTCCACAGTGCTCCCAGTGTGGGTCTGGGGCCAGTCGATGGCTCTCCTCCGGGTGTCCTCACAGAAGCGTCTGGGTGTCGGTGGCAGCTCAGGGACGGTGGGTTCTGCTGTACTGGATCCACTATTTTCCTCAAACGGGTCCCTCCCATCTCTTGGGTCTGCTCCTGCTACAGTGGTGTCGCCCTGCCCCTTCATGGTGGACGCGGCCGTGGTGCTGATGACGGTGGTCTTGCTTATGGATGGCGAGATGGAGAAATGTTCACTGGTTGGCACTAGAGAGAGAAAGGGTGTAGATGTTAGAGCTTGAGTCATCAATGTCCTTTTACTTGAGCTGCCATCGTTTCTAGCAATGGGGAACTGCGGCTGTTTGGAGTCCCGTGGCTCGTTGGTACTGAGTTACTGCTGCCCATGATTTCTTGAAATAAAAAGCTTCATGCAGCTTTCACCCGTAACTCCACCTCTTTTCTGTTCCTTCACTAAACAAAACAAGGCAAACCTGCCAACACCAAACATCTATCTCTTGCTATTTTTAGTTTTCACAAGGCCATAAATAAGACAAGCGGTGTTGGTGGGGCATCCTTTGACAAAAGCAGTGATTTCCTTCCAACAGAGTCAGTACCTTGGGCTGATTAAATGTCAACAATGAAGATAAAGCCTGTCTACATTTTACTTTTTTCTGCCTAGTTTATCTCTGTCACTTTAATAAAGCTGCTCTGCTGAAGGAGAACTGCAGTGCTCCAGGCGAAAACATACATCAGCAATAATGTGATTCCACTATATTCAATCCACGCCCACCCTGCGAAGCAAATCTATATGTGTTTGCTCCATTGCTCAGGTGTGTTTCTGCTTAAGACCACTGCGTCCGCAACAGCTGTATAGCCACTGCAAAGAGCCTGGAGATAACTAGGAAATGAGAGCAGGAATAGGAAATCTATCAATTTTATACAGTATGAATAGCCAATATAAATCAAAAAGAAAACATGGTGAATGTTTATATGTATCTGGGTATGTGTGTCTATATGGATATGGTAGTCTCCTATATTAATAATTATACATTTTTTCAGCCACAACCACCTGATTGTATTTCGAGATAAAAGCAGCTCCTCACAATGAGGTCTGCCTTTGTGAAAGGCCCTATAGTGTTGTCTTCACGTTCCCTTGGTGCTCCTAGGAAAATGCAATATCATGCTATCTGACACTCCATCATCAGACAAATATCTCCATTTCCTGAGAGAGAGCGGTGACAAAGCCCACATTTCACGTTTCACACTAATCAGCCAGTCAGGGGAATCTTTGCTTTTTCATTTCAGTGAAATATCTGAGTTTATTACAAAGCTGATATCTGGCGATGTAGTCAGGAGGCCACGGCAGGGAGGTAGCAGTATTTCTGTGATGCTCACTGTAGGAAAATAAACTGCAAACCTCCCTGCAGTGCCGGCTGAGTTGTGACATTTCACTCAATGACCTTTACTCCTGTCAGGAGCTCTGGCTAATTACCTTACACTCAGTCATTGTGTGTCTGTTATCCACCGTTCACAGCGCAGCACGGCAGCAAAAGTAACAGCTGACATGTGCGGTTAACTTGGGCAGACTGTCATGAAGTGTTCGGTTAGCCCCCGCAAGTTTGAAGGTATCACAATTTCTCCCAGGAAACAAGGGAAATTAAGAAACCGGACCGCTGACAATTAGAAATGTCTTGTTATATCTCTTAGTGGACAGGATCACCATTGCCTTTTATTTAGTAATATCAGATAAAAGATGTAATACTTTATTTATATTTTAACATAAATTAGTTGAAAGGAATTTGCCATATAGAAGTACGCTAAAACACTTTTTTCCCTAAACATAACTTGCTATTTAAAAAAGAAAATGTTTCCCATATATTATGTATACCCTTTGAAGCTTTTTTATTGACTCAGGAAAAGAGAGATGATTCATGGGCTGACTCTTTTGATTCAATATTCAGGTATAATGCAATACAAGGGCAAGTGTAATTAGGTTTGAGAATATTAAACCTCTCCATACCTGAGCAAACTTCTGCTTTCCACAGGCTGATATGAGCCCTAATATGCATCTGCCTGAAACAACTTTCTTGCGGCAACTGATTAACCTGCTCCTGAATCCATATTGCTCCAACTCATGAGTCCAAAGCCCTCTGCCACCCACACACACTTGATCACAAATTATCATACAGCACAGAGACATATTTTGTTCAGTGTTTCTTTGTCATTTCTGAAAAAGCTTTTTAATAGCCGTAATTATCATAAGCGATTCAAACAATTCAGAGAAGCTGCAAAAAGCTTGGATTATTACGTGCAATGTAAAGAACAATATGTGTCCACATCTACATGTTAGTGCTGCAACAAATTACTATTATCATTTTCAATTAATCTGACCATTATTTTCCTTATAGACTGTGTATAGTACAAAGAAAACTTGGATTTTTTATTTCACTATTTTCTGATATATAAGAGACCAAATAATGAATGTATTATATGAGATATTTGGCAGAGTAATCTAACATTTATATAATTTTGCAGTCCTAATTCACTTTATCTAAAGAAGATTGTATTTAAAAAAAGAAAAAATCATATTTAAACTATATTTTAGTCATTTCATTCTACTAAACATTAAGTTGTTTTCTAATTTTTCACTCTGTCAGTCAGATTCATGAATTCATATCGCTTTAATAATAAGGTTTTTTTTTTTTTTTTTAAATCAAAGACAAGATACAATCTTTGTTGATATTTACAGTCTAGGGTTATCAGAGAGTAATTATGAAGGACATCGAGAACATCACATAAAAAAAACATACTCATTTAATATTACATCAAGCAATGTGCTTGTCAGATGTTGAATCATTTGCGGGTTTATTTGGATGTCTCTCCAGCGTACGTGCTACAATTTTCTTTTGATTGTGGAGAGCACATTCCCCTCCAGTAAGAGCGCTGTGTCCTCTGATAGCACTCAACCAAGAGAGGGCTGCACCAATTAGCTGCCATTTCTCTCAAGAGGCAGTGAAGTCACTCTTTATGGGCAATCTGACACCAGAGGCATACTGTCGCCATATGCTGAATAATACCTCTTGTAAATAATAGAAGAGTTGGAGATTGAAGATTTGACAAATGGCTGTCACCGAAGTCTAAACCAGAGTGTGTAAATTAAAACAGAGCTTAAAAAAATTAAAACCATTATGCAAGATCATCAATCAAGATATCAGAGATGAAGTAGAATTAGATTCATTACTTTATAGGCCCCCAGAGTAATATAAGTATCTGCGAGTGAGATGAAAAAACAATATTAAACCAGAATCAGATGATCAGAGATATATATTTTTTTCCTTGCTTTTGCGGCTTACTCTGCAACACTAAAAGAGGCTTTCCCTATTTAAAATTACACATACAGTAAAAAGCAGTTAGAATTACAAACGGCAGGATAAATGCATCATAAGCTGCTTAATACCGGCTATTACGGAAGAGCAATGACAAGTCCCAACCAAATCAAGCGGTTTTTAATTGGTTTAAAAATGTTAAGATGAATCACATACAAGGCTAATCCACCAAGTACAATGACAAATAGACACTTATAGTTGTAAGGAAAAATCAAATAGGCAGTGCTCAGTTAAAAGAATATCTCTACAGCAGGGTTTGTTTGCACTGAAGAAAAGGCTGAAGGCAATAAATGTGTGCCGCAGTCCTCTTTTCTTGCCCTTGAAAGTTAGCTTTCGTCAAAGTGAGAAGCACCTGATTCAGCTGCATACTTTCTAACCCATATGAAAAGGTGACCAAAATGAAAACAAAAAACACAATCAAGATTAGTGACAGGTTCTTTTTCCCTTTTCAATGCACCGTAAACTTGAAATTCAAGAACAAGAATAAGAAAAGGTAGGCATACAGCACGACAAATGTAAGGGTGTAGCCAGCTGCTAGTTAGCTTAGCTTCGCACATGGACTGGACAACGGAGAGGCAAGATAGCCTGGCTCTGTCCAAAGACAATACAAGTCATCAAGCTAATTTAAGCACCTCTAAAGCTCACACACTTAAATTGTAAGAGTAAAAATGTGATGTTTCCATTTAAAGGGTTATCATACACCAAATAACCATGACGTTGTGCTAACAAAAACAATCTCTTCCAGGTAGCCAGGTATTTCTGTTGTAGTTTGAAACGTAACTTTAACATTTAAAGATATTAAGTTAAACATTGTGGCCCGATCTTTCTGACGTTCCTGCCATTGTTATTGTATGTGCAATGCAGACTTGCTAGCCTATGGAAAGAACATATATGACAAAATGGCCTAGACTTTTGCTTTACCCAAACCAATAGGGTGTTGCCACGCTGTCAGTCCTAATATACCACAATGAGTAAGACACATGTGCCTCCATGTGTGTGGGGCTTCATATATATCTGTATTCATTGTGCATTAAAGCTTGACTCAGTAACAAGACCGTCTCAGAGGAGAGGATCCGTGTGCGAGCTACAGTTGGTCTTTTTTGTCTCTTTACCTAAAGCCAGTGCTGGTAATTAATGACAGAGAAACAGGTCCCTGAAGACATGAATTTTACATTAGGCTGTTAAATGCGCTCATGCTGTTCTGCTTCATCCAACGCTACGTGACAGGAGCATACGGCTTGGCATGGAAGGTAAAAGGCCACAACGCAATTCAGCCGTAGTTTCCTACCCAATGCTGTGGGATATGTCTTTATTTCTGCTTAATGGAAAAACTCAAGGCATCGATAAATTGTTTCAGGGCCTCACTGCTTTTTTGACACTTGTTCTTTAAAGAGCACTAGACGGAAAAAGCTCTGCCGGACATATCCTGTGTCTGTGCAGGGTAATTTATGATGCCTGAAACTGAGTACTGGGGAGCAGCCGAAACAGAGCAGTCACAACTAGATGGTCTGAGTCAGAGGAAGGCTCACAATACAGACCCATGCATGCAGACAGGAAGATATATGTGCAGACAGAAATACACTCGGAGCAAAAACATTTCAAACATCACTGTCGTCTACACATATAATGTCGACTTAAACAATTTTCTGCCATAATCTTGTCAGGGGTTGATACAGACTGAGAATAACAAGTAGAGCTATTGCAAATCTCCTGACTCCCTTACCTTAGCCTTTATTCCTGTAACCGAACATCATGCTTCAGAGGTGGAACACAAGCTTAGTGCATGAGACATCTATAAATGTCCTCTGTCTTGACGGCCCACTCGGAGGCGTCGCACAGGGATATAAAAGCATACCAAAGTGCATCAAGATGCTCAGCTGGGTTTAGTCACAAAATGGCTGAGCAAAAAAAAAAAAAAAAACACACCAGCTTTGTAATGATAGATATCTATCATGTGGCATGCAGGATATGAAATAGTACTTTTGCTTGACATTTCAATTCAGCTCTGAGCCCACTTGTGCTCACTGCTTCCAGATTAAGCTGAGTGGCTAAGCCTTTCGGACAAAGCCATTCATTTTATGCCTCTCGTCTTTAAGGCTTCAGATCAATGCTACCTCAAATACAAATTAATTTTCTCCTCTCTCTCCTTGTTAGTTTGAAATGCTCTCGGCAATTGCCAACTCCTTTGATTGGTTTTTCTGAATTCATTGGACTGAAATCAGTTAATGCTTTTGCACATCACAGAGAATACATTAACGGTGTCCCTTTCAGTTTTGTAACGGCGGCGCTTTGGTGTGCTTTCTATTGGCATGCACCTCATTCAGAAAGACCTCTGAGAAGGTGGACTCTCTAAGTATTGATCATTGCTGTTTTGTGTTCACAATGAATTAACAGAGGGTAGACATTTTCTTTAAATGCGTGTGAATTGTCTGCAGCAATAAGCTGAAAGATCAATACGGGTAAAGATCCTAGCTAATCACTTCAACCAGGGCCAGAATTAAGAAACCCAAAGTGTTATAAACACTCTACACAAGGTAAAGAAAAATGCCGCCAAGTTGCTAAGGTCAACTATTTTCTGCTTTGATCATTTTGCTCAAACTCTCTTAATATAAACCCCTAATCCTGCTGGCACTTCATCCCTCTAGGATGAGCAATACAGTGAAGGTTGATGCTTCTGACAGAAAAGGACGCTCGTTGTGTTACATGAGTTCTACAAAGGAGAGAAATTCAGCGGGTTTGGTGTTCGAGGTAACTTCTCTCTGTGGTCGATGAATCTTAATGGGCACAATTAATTTTCTTTACGCCTCGAGGGCCCCTCAGTTTCAGAGAGAGAGACATTATTTCAGCACCATTAGATTACTCTGCAGAATAGGTTGTTTAATTCAACACCATATCATGGACAGCAATAAATCTTAATAGCTACACAGTAAAGAAGTTAAAGGTGTAGATCCAGACAAAAATAAAAAGCTAATAAACAAGAACCAATTATTTTCAAGTGTGGCGTGCTGCCGTTGGCCTTGGCACCATGAGATGCCCCCTCTCCTTCTTGAGCTCACAACATTTAAAATGGTTCCCATGTAACACACTTAACGATGCAGAGTGACAAGTTGTGCTGCAAGGATGCATTTCTGATTGGATCCCAATAACAAAACAGCGAAAGGATACGGGTATTTAGAATAATGAGTGAAATCAACTATGTTCTGTTGGGTTCCTTCATTAAACGCGCTGTTCATGAAGCAAGTGGCAACTCTGCGCCTATGTGGCATTTATGTTTACCGAGGCATTACAGTAGCTGAGAGAGCACATTAAACCCTTCATTGAAAATACTCTGTGATGGCCACTTTCCTCCTCTCCCTCAGCCTCTTTTGAGACAAGGAGGGTAATTATGATAATTCACTTGTTAATTACATTTACATACATCAGGACGTGAACAGTTGAGCAGGCAGTTTGCATGCATGGAGAACTCATTAAACTTTGAGTATTTTCATATCTCCTCCAACATACTCTAAATGGAGGCTAGGGTTGTTCAGCAGAACAGGCGTAAAGTTGTACCCCCTCCACCCCCACCTCGTGGGTGTCGAGTTATCATGCTGGGGAGATTCCAGGGAACGGCAGGAATACAAACAGACTTGTTGACAAGAGGCCAGAGTTCAGGAGCACACAGCAGCCATTGAGACATCAACGCTAACCCCCCCTTCAGCAGCTCAGGTCAGGACTCAAATTTCCCCCCTGGCAACCCCTCCCGAATATCCAGAAGTTAAAATCATAATTTAATCCAGACCAGTGCTCAGGGGCAACATGAGCTTCTAGCGTAACGAGACTTCGGGTCAAGATCCTGATTTCCCCATTTCACACAGGAGACATGGCCCGGCTCTATGGGATAAGGCGGCTGCTGTCAGGTAATTAGGCCCATTACCATCTTAATGCAAGGTCTCTGTCTGATGACACATATGTCACCTCTCAGCACTTCACAGATTAATTTAAGCTCTCTAACCGCCTGACAAGATTCTTCACTGTAATTGATCTCTCTTTTTACAGCTACTCTTGTGCGCTGATTCACCATGTGGTACACAACTCACACACACTTCGGCCTGGTACTTTAAAATATTATGCTACAATAGGATGGCTATTATCTCCTGATCTATTGTAAAAAGCCTGTGAAGTTGATGAAGTAGCCATGGCAACACAATTTAAAATCCCAAGGCAATGGGAAGAGGATGACCTTGGTCAGACTGTGAACAATACTTCACAAATGTATTCCCGGTATTTCATATTTATATTCACAATGGTTTCGGGTAAAGCCTGAGATTAAAGAATTTGATAAGGTCCAAGCTTCAGCTGGTGAGAGTGCCTCAGCTTGCCTCATGGTAATAAAGAAACGGGTTTCTGAAGAGGCGCAACCCTTCTGGGAGCTATCCCTCATTCCAAGGTGAATTTGTAATTTCTGTCTGCAAATGAGCCCTTTCCCCAAGACTAACACAACCCTTTTTTCTTTATCACACCTGAATTGCATCCAAAATTAAAAGGCAGCCATCTGTGATATGACTAGCTGTAACCAAACAATAGACAAAAGAGAATAATTAAACAAAAACATGGAGCAGCTCTCACTTTCAGCAGGATCCGGAGGCCCGAAGTCCAGGTCGTAGCGCACGATGTAAAAGTTATTCCACACGTATAGCTGGTTGTCCCTGGGGTTGTAATCCACAGCGGTGATGTACTGGTACTGGTTGGGGAAGAGGATGTCGATGTATTCGCCCTGGCTTATCTTGGTGTTGTAGATGTAATCAATTTGGCTCTTGCTGGCCTCGCTCTCGTTCTCTTCGTAGGTCGAGCGGACCACGTGCAGCACACCGCACACCATGAAGGCGTTGGAGGCCGAGCGCTTGTCGTACGCCGTGTCCCATGTGGCCTCGAAGCGGAGAGTGTACGGGTTCAGCTGGCTCACCACAATGCGCCCATTGTTCTGTTCCGTGGCGTAGATTACCCACAAGCCCCTCTCGTCTACTGCCAGGTCAATGTCCGTCTTGCCACCCCAGCGGTAAGGCGAGGTGTCGTGATAGTTGGCATTGTTAACGATAGCCTCGCCGCTTTTGATGCGCGTACGCAGGTCAAACTTGACAATGTTGCGAGTGCGTTCTTTGTTAAAGAAGATGGCGCCATCGTAGGCCACGAAGCCTGTCCCATCAACACGGTGCGGCAGTTTATAGGTGGTTGTCTGGCGACCGTTTTTGAAGTCTTCCAGAGAGACGTACTCGATGAGCGTGTCAGTGCGGTATGGCGTCCAGGGCATGAAGAAGACTTTATCACCGGCCTGCAGAGGGTCTCTGCACCACGAGCCCGCTTGCTGCTCTGCCTCAAACAGGAAGGTGGCGTCTCCTATGCCCTTCAGAGTCCCGGGACAAATGAAAACTAGTGACAGAGAAGAGAGTAAAACAAAATACAGTAAGGAAAAAGTATTTCAGATACATGAAACACATTTGACACGCATCATTGTTGCTGCTGTACAACTCAAGTGCAGGATAAGAAAGATCAGGGGTTGTGAATTTGGAGGAATGTTTTAACAAGTGCTTTTGTGCTACTGCTAATGAATAGGGAAAAAAAGAAAATAAATGAATGTGTGCGTTAACGTGAACTTGCATCTCAAGCGTCTGCTGCTACATCCTAACAGGGACAAAACAACATAAAATGTGAACAAAAAGGGTAAAAATCCTGCAAATGAAAGACATGGGAAAGGGGAGGAGTAGAGTTCACACTTCCCTTTTTTTAAATACCAGTCTGTCTCTGACGTCAAATGCACATGAACAGCTGGGTATATGGACACACTACACATGCATACTAACATGACTGGGGTCATAAACCAAAATGAAAAGGGAACAGACTTCACATCTTGGGATAAGAGTGAACAAAAGGTTGTCAATGGTGGTGGCGGCAGCAAAGCAGAGGTAAAATGAAAGTGGAGGTTTGGGAAATAGATCGAACAACAGTGGTAAAGGATTATCACTACTTCTGTGGCAAAAGACAGGAGTAATCACTGATGGGTGAGGGAGGCCATGGCAAGGATCCAGTTTAGACCATTTTCAATTAATTGGTTCTGGATAAACGGAATGAATTCTTGTTTTCCTTTCACATTTAGTTTTTATTCTGTGCCAATCTCACTCAGCCATCATTGCTATTTCACATCACGTGCTATGGGTGCAGCAGAAGTTGGGCCAAGCAGGACTATGCCAAATAAGAATATATAACACAACTACTCATTCTTCAAGGGTTCACACAGTGCTAGGCAAGAGTCCCTGGAACAAATCAACACCCAACAGTTGGTGTTTTCTTTCACATTGCGCGAAAAGAATGTACTTTCCATGACCGTGGATGTCATATGAAATTCTGTTTGGAAATGCATTTGTACTCCAAGGGTGCAACAAATCCTCCTATGGGTTTAGCATTTGACAGTAGAGGCAATCAGGAGGGGGAGGAGACGTGAGGGGAGCTGTACTCAACACCACAGAACAAGGAGCCAGAGGGGGAAGGGGGGGACCAGACCACTCATTTACCTTTTTGCTCCACTTCTATTTCAGGCATTGGAAAAGAAAGCAAAAAAGAGTGCAAAAGGGAGAGAAAGGTTATCACGAGTCAACTACCAGGTACAAAGAGAAGAATTAGCTGGAGGATATGACCATGAGATGAACTGCAGGGCTGTTTTGGGAAAAAGAGCTAGCGGGGAAAAAGTGTTTGTTAGTGAAACAGCCTCTCATCCTAGGATATAAAAACAGACAAGTTATGGCTGGAGACAAGCTATGGGCAAAGAAATCCAGCGCATTCAACTTTTCATTCCTACTGTCTTCAACTGCCAACAAAATACTGCATTGGCCGATGTTAAAGCAGAACAAATTCCTCTAAAAATGCTTCTCCTAAGAGGTAATATTTAGATGGATAACAGTCTTAGTCAAACATCACAGGAGTTATCATTGGCATGGATTGACTGAGGGTGGAATTTGTTCAAACTTTATAAACATAAATTAAAACTTGATTCCATATTTGCTCGCCCACACGCGTAAAACATGACACGGTGCTAATGCTACAGACCAAACTCTTAAATGAGCCAAGGAGAGCGACAGCACATGAGATGACTGATGAGCAGTCGGCCTAATATGGAGTTTCTTTACTGGACTGTTGAAGCTGCTGGTAGAGGAGGAAAAGGCTGGAGACAATATAGTGTGAAAGATTAGAAGTAGAAAAAAAAAGAGAGCACAGAGGTTAGTCGGGGGGGGGGGGGGGGGGGTGGGGGGGGGGGAACGAGACAGGAGGTGAAAGGGAGGTCTGTTTGAAAGAAGAGAAAAAGAGGTGAATATTTCGTGAAATGTTTACAATTCATCAACTTAAGTACTTTCACAGGCAGGAGTGACGCCTAAAGCTGCTTTTATAAACTACTCTAAAACACCCTTTTAAAAGGTAGATTAACTCAAATCAGATACCATAGACAGAGTTTATAATAGTGTCGGATTTAAATAACTCTGCAGTACATTTAATTATACCATGTGCACAGCGAAACACTTAAGCTGATCAATGACCGAGAACAGGAATTTGGTTACATTTGTAGGATTATTGTCACTTATGCTGTTTCACTTTAGTGGTTTCTGGAGTATGTTTCCACAAGACATTAAGGAACACAATGTACTAATGTAAGACCTTTAATGTAGCCATTTCTTTGAATAAGACCTTTAATGTAGCCATTTCTTTGAATAGCCTCCTTTTTCTATTTCAGCTAAAGACACAAAAAAGGCAGTGTTATTAAAGCCATTTCAAATGTGAATTCACCAGATTTCTTCAGTTCCCCCTTATGGTAACTCATCAAGCAGATAGTTCTGGTTGTATTTGCCCAGGTTTGGAAATACCTGCCACATTTTTCATCATCATCCAAATACAAGAGTTGGATGTAATTTAGTTTGAGGAGCTCACAGCACTACTGGGACTATTTCTACTCAGGATTTAAGTAGAAAGTTGTTTGATCAAAAGTTTTTTATGGATTAACTGCAAAAGAAAATGTTTCTGAAATTATAATGTTTTGCTGTTGACATGTTTTGAAATCTAGGTTTTAATAAATGTAAAACTCAAAACCACAAATTTCATTTACTTTTGAGATGGAAGCAGAAATCTCACACATAGAGGAATGGGGTTTGTATTCAATCCTAATTCAATATCCTGAATTATTTCAAATGAAATAAGGTTTAACTTCACCACCTGTAATTAAACTTCTGTACAACTAAAATGTTAATCTCCATTAATATCTGTTACCATTCACACTTTAGTACTACTGTTTTAGTGCTATTAATAAGGTTCAAAAACTACCTGAAAAGACATGTTCAATATGTAGAACTATAATATAATAACAGTCAGATCCTACTTACTTTTACACCTTGTTTTCTATGAGCTGCTTGGCCTAAAAACAAGAGATCCCTTCAAAGAACTCGGGGACTTAAATTATTTATTTGATATGTTTAGAAGTCGGTCTTGTTGAACTAAAAAAAACATCCGGTCTAGTTGCGATTCTCCATCACAAACAGACTTGAGTTCAAACACTGGCTTGCAGATAGCACATTTACCAGACAACAAACAGAAGTTTCAGATAAGCTATAACAAAATTAACAACAATTAACATAAATAACAAAAGGGTCCAATAAGGGAGTCTTTAGCCCTTGAGCTTAACGAATCTGGGTGCTTTGCCAACCGGGAACCAGATTCAAAAAGGAAGCGGCTATCAAAGCCTGAAGACAGAAATGTCAGAACCTGCCAATTTTAAACCGAAACCATCTGCAAGGCTGGATTCCACTGGAGATAATTGAAGAAGATATAGTTTGTTTGTAATTTGGGGGAACTGATCCTTTAAATGACAGCAATGCTTCAATACATCAACTTAATTCATCATTGTTAATGCCAGTCGTCCCGTTGAAGTATCATCTGTAAAACAAACATTGTCTTCCAACCATAGAAACTGTAGTTACAGCACATCTGTCTAGTCTACAGACACTTTAAACACACAATAAGAGTTCAGTATGAGATTTGGATGGCGATACTTACTATAGGGAACACACTCATACTGGACCTCTAAGTACTTGTAGGTGCCAGGGCATGGATCAGGAAAGACATCAGAGCCAGTGACAACCACACACTGCGTACGGTTGTTGCACCTAGAAAAAGAAAAGATTGACCAGAGATTTCATCATGACTACCCACAGCAAGAGTACTCCGCAATGACAACATTAATAACGCAGAGCGGGGAAAAAGTTAAATGTTACAGCTACAAAGATATTGATGAAATCCCAGCCAGGACTGTCACATATGCATTCTAGATTAAACCTTGGCAAACTGAGAGAGGAATGAAAGCATTAAAAAGGAGTGTAAATGGATGTGATAATGAATAAAAGAGTGAGATAGCAGCAGCTAAGGCATGTTAGGAATTAGCAATGGCATTTCCTTTAACAGCTTCTTCATATCGCTATTGAAAGGGAAGACATTCATTAAACACACGGGACAGGTGGCGATGACATGTGAGTGGACTGGAATGGTGGCCTCTGGTGAAACGGTGCCCCTCCTTTGCATGTGAGCAACAAACTCGACTTGAATGTGTCCTTTCTATGAGAGGTTATTTGTCCTCCAGTATGAAATAATGAACCTCCGTAAATCAACACAGTTGTGTGAATTGCAATAGTGTGAGTGTTTGTGTAGGTGTGTGAGTGTTTGTGTGCAGATGTTTCTGGGTGCTTTGAAAGTAAAGACGGAGAGGGGGAAAGAAGAACAGCAGAGGACTGAGTTTGTGTAAATACTGTATAGTGTGAAATTGGCTCCACTTCAATCAAGTTCTCTTGAGGCCGAGGGATTGAGAATATTGTCAGCAGTAACAGAGGCAAACAAGAAGAAATTGGCACCAAAGTAGGACATTCAACAATTTGCAAGCCTGAGATAAATATTTCAGAAGGTCAGTAGCAGTCATGCAAGCTGGACATACATTTCAACATTGAGCATGACTTCCAAAGAATCATTAGTAATTCAAGAGGCTTTTTGTTGCTGCAAAATGGGTTTGTGCAGCACAACATCCTCACAGGGCCTTGACTCTGCAATGTCAGCTATGCAGGATGTTAAACTCAAGAATAAAAAGGTAAAGGTATGTACATTAACCAGATAAATACTTTGCTTTCAGGCTGCACAGCTATTTATTTTCATTACAAAAGCCTTTGCCTTGAAACTAATGGATTATTAAACATTATATAGGAATAAAAAGGCGCAAAGGCCATTATGAAGTTAAGAAATAGCATCAGCTCAAACACCACTGACAGCGCCGTGCCGGTTGCACTTAACAGTTTCACTCTCATGGCTTCACTACAGTGAGAGCTGGTGAGAGGAACAAAGGTCACTGCGTGAAAATGTGAAGTGACTGAAAGCAGATACAATGAGTTAATCGATTTAATGTAGGTGTTTAAAAGTCTGACTGACACTAGCTACGAATGGTGCAAACTACATTTACTCAGGTACAGTACATATGTACAACTTTGAGATACTTTAGTTAAGATTAAACATGAAAAGTATAGTTTTAACTAATTTAATGCAATACATTCTTACATATAATAACTATGAAATTGATATATAATAATATTTGATCCACTTCCACCAGCTACACTATTGAATTGTGGCTTGCATGTTGATGCATCGGTGATAATAAGGCAACATTCAAATGTGTATAGTAATATAGTGCTTGAAAGGAGCCATTAATAGTTTAAATATGAAATGTTGAATACTTAAGTGATGTTACTTAAGTAAAACCTTTAATGCAGGGTTTTAACCTGTAATGGAGTATTTTTTTTAATTGTTCTGCTACTTTCAAAACTCACATTAACATATTTGACCATGCTAATGTTCTTCGGCTAATGTTTAAAGCCGGAAAACCAAAACAATGTTCTGAAAGCCGTAAAGCTGTGCAAACTGCAAAGAGACGGATCATTCTCTGTGAGTGTGTAACTCCCAGTGCCTCTTTTCAGTTTATTTTCATTTATATAAAAAAATATTGATTTCTCAAGGTTAGTAAATTATCTAATACTTCTTCCACCACAGCACCTTTTTTAACATTGTGAGAAACCGCAATGGAGTTTTTTTTGTGGTGCAATTTTTAGATCCTCTGGAGAAAAGGGAGGTGTTGTTGCTAAGCATTTAGACACGCTTCCTCAGTTTTAAACTGCCGCTGAAATTGCTGCATGTAATCTCTATTGCACTGAGCTCATGAAGTGTTTGCATCTTCTTTCTTTCAACCTACAAGCTGCTCCTCTGACAAGGGAAAACATGTATTATGTTGGTCTCACTGGGTCAGAGGATGTATGGCCATTGGATGAGGTAATGTTAGTCAGCAAAGCAGCTTTATTTAGATGATCTATCATGTCTTTTGTTGCTATGTGGGTGTTTTTGAACCTACACTAGTAGAAAACAGGGTGGAGGCAACAATGTCGACATAAGAAAAAAAGAAAAAGAGAGTTCGGATCACCTCGAATTTACCAGACATCTTTGATGCAACGATCACCTGAATATCAAACAGGCCATAGGTTTCCATCAGTGCATTTTATACATTGTTCATCCAGTCACTGTTTTTCTGTCTCCAACCAAACGTTTTTTAAGAAAACACTTTCATGTAGATTTTGAAGAAAATCAAGCCATTTCAATCCTGTCAAGTCGCTTTTGTTGTGAAAAACGGTTTGCTGATGAATACTTTTCTCGTAATTTCAAAGCAACAAACTGCCATTCTGTGCAACAGACTTCCCACTGTTTCTATCTTCCCAGTGTTGTTTAATATGTTTGTTTATCTGTCTCTGGTGCTATTGCCTTTTGCTAATCATCCCCAAAATGGGCAGAGAGCTGTCTTAATGTTTCGCCGTTTAAACATCCTCCTTCGCTGCAGACTGAAAGAGGACTGATAAGGGTCTCCCAAAGCTTTGTGTCTGCTTTAACATGCCCGGTTATCACATCAACCTTAATTGTGGTCAGATGCCCATTTCCTCTGATCTGAATCATTAGAATAATTCTGGCTTGTGGTGCGGAGTCTTCTCAAAGCCTTCGCTCACACACTGCCTCCAGGGAAACTTCGATGGAGATAAGTTTGGAGTTCAGCAGGCGAGAGTCTAACTAGTCGACAGATGTGGTGCAGAATGTAGCAGGTTGCAGTCAAACCAAGGGGCATGGACACTGTAAGAGAAGAGTGCTGGGACTCAGCTGTATATTTAAAAAAGACTATTCTGTAGCGCTGCACCTCTGGGAGTAAATACAGAGGTGAATGAAGGAAAAAACCCAGAGGAGTAAGATGGTGGGCGAAGCTAGCCTAAGGGGGGGGCACTGTAGGACAGAGCAGTGCCTTAGAAGATGAACAGTGCTGGTTACTATTTATGAATAGTTCATCCAGTGCCCTTTAAAAATACACACACCTCTAGGGGTAGGCAGCAGTGGAGTTAAAGTGTTGCCGCGCTGTCGTTTGACGGGAAAACAGCCTCTGTGAGAGGGTAACCGGGATAAAAGGCATGATGATGGGCACTGCTCACTACCTGAGGCAGAGCCACTTCAATGCAGTACAAGTGTTTGAACAAAGCAAGGCTAGTGTTCCAGATAGGGAATTAAGAGGGTGTTGATGTGACTCGCAGTCTTTCTGAGCTACACTGATTATGACTCAAACAGCAGCAACAATGCGCAGCTGGTGTGAAGAGCTCTGCCGCATGGATGTCCATTCTCGACTGTCAGGAATTAATCTGCGCCCCAGTTTTCTGACTTTAAAAATAGCACCTACATAATCTAGTCAATGAGGGAATAAAGGAAAAACATAAATAAATACATATTTATGTGCGTGCAAAGGAAGGGTGAGAATTTAAGCGTTTCTTTTGTGTGCAGAAATGTTAGTCGCAGAAGGAAAGAGAAAGAAAAGAAGTTCATAATGTTGCCAGGTCCTGGTTTTGTTTGTGAAATAAGATCCCTCCTCCGCCCAGCGTTTTACCTTTGTGATATAATCTTGTAGGCATCGGGGAGGTAGCAGTTGACGTTCTCCATCTGGAATGGGTCAGCGTCACAGATCTTGTCGTCGGTTCGGCCGTAGTTGGCCGTCTCGATCATAATGACATCACTCCCCGGGCAGCGGAGATCGATTGCATATCCTTCACATGAGAGCTCCCTCCTGACCAGCCCGAAAGGCAAGGCAGCACGGCTGAACCCTGACAGAGACACAAAGACAGAGAGGAAACTTTAGGCAAATAATACAAACTAATGAGTTGAAAGGATCACTGCTTCAATACAATAAGACCACACATCATGCAGTTAAATCCCCTGGCACAAAATAAATAGGCAACAGCAGTCCAATGTTTACCACAGTTTTAAACAGACGGGCCATTACACGCGATACAGGAATGGAGAAACAATTCATCTCTCCATCTCTCTGTGGTCTTAGATGTTGGCTAAGACATCAGATCTGTGTCACTGGAGACCAATGGTAACCTCATAAATTCTTGTGCAAACACAAAGGCTACAGAGCATCAGGAAGGCCTCCACCTAGAGAACATCCACCACAGAGCCAAACCTAGCTGGACGGGGAATAGTTTGTTTTACAGTCCTACAAACCCGCTGATTTGTTTCTTTTTTGCTTTACTGGCTCTCTCAAGAAAAGATAGAGAAAAAAAGGCAGAATCCCGGCAGAATGGAGTGTAATTCAATCCATTTTACAGTGTCGGGGATCGAAGAGTCTGGAGTCCACACAGTAGGAAAAATCTATACGTGGAACACAACACAGCAGATGGGAGCGCAGCCAAATAGCTATACTTTGGGGGGAAATTAACTATTCAACTCAAATATGTCCCCTTTTCAGAAAATAACAATGAAATAGGTTACTCCTCTGTATCCCTCTAGTGCAAAAATGGCATGTCACAAATATGGTAGAACTACAGATATGCAGATTTCCAAAGTAAGAGAAAAGCAAGGAAAAAGCTGAAGAAAGAAAGAAATCCATTATCTGAGGTTAAAATGATCCGGAGTAAAAATGAATATAAGTGTCTGCAATTCTGACAAAACAATTAGGTAAAATCTAAGTAGAACATGCAAATGTGTTCCCTTTAAGAAGTGCAAGCAGAGCGCTACATGAACTGTCAATAATCGCTGTTGTTTGCAGCAATAGTGGGTCCCCGAGGGGGCAGCTACCATTTGTATTTTCTGCACTGCTCTCTCCTAATTAGCCTTCCTTTCAGCCTGTTGCCTTTTCCATTCTCCCATTCGCTCCCGAGCATTGTCATGTAGCAACACTTACCACCTCGGGTTCACTTTGCCCCCTCACTCTAATTATCCTCATGCTTCTGACAGTCGGGGCTTGACTCAATTAGCATTGTTTGAACTGCTTAGAGTTGAAGTGGTTCTGGCTTGAAATTCCTACCCTGAAACCCCCGACCCACATTTCTGCTAGTCATTTCAGCCTGCTGTCCATGGCTCACTTATAATGATATTCTATGTCCGCCTGCACATTTCACACTAGCAAATAGACATCTGTGAAACATTGTTCAGAATATAATGTTGGAGTCATCCCATATTAGGGAAAAACTTCTGCACGCACTAGCAGTGGTAGCCCTATAACAAAATATGAAACTAATGGTATAAATTGTCTGGCATTCAGCCACTAGACATTTCATTATAGTGCCATGATCTGTCTAATGGCCAGTAGATTCTGCTTAGCTGGACTGTTTATCACCTCATTAGGAGACGTCAGTGTAGCCGAACCATAAGTGGAGGGCTGTGGGGTCACTCCATCTATTCCAATAACCACTACAATTACCCAAACCTTTCAGAAAACCTGTCCAGAATGGTGGATGATAAAACACAGAGTGAAATCGCCGGCTTTACTGTGAAAACTAATGATCACCCCGCCTGCTATTCCTCATGGAAGGAGTGACGGGTTTATCACGGCAGCTACAGACAGCACACAGAAAGAATGCATTTCATGGGGTTTTCAAATTCTGAGCGGAGCGAGAGAGACCGTCTTTCGGATAAAACAGCCCTCACACATGTACAAGCCATCTGCCTTCGTAACCTCCTTTTTTCTGGCTGTCCACTGGCAACTCTGCCCATCTATCAGACCACTAAGGCATGATAGCATGCTGCTGTCAACAGAGGCCAAGCGATTGATTGGGCTTGTGCCCTGCCGGCCGCCTCTTCCCTTGCCTGTATAGATCTCTCTGGTCATAGGCTAACACTGCATCAATTAGGGGGAGTATCTAGACTGTACTGGCGGCCTAAAGAACAAATAGCTTCTTCTCTAAACTACGGATGGTCTCTGCCTCATTAATGACTGTCTTTTCAGCTTGTAATTGGGCAAGTAATGACAAATCTGTCTAAATACTTTAAATATATATAAAAGAAAATGTTTCGCTCTGTAGGACGAGAGCCGAATTCGAGGGAATATTCTTTTAGTGGACTTAACTGTATGTTGCTTAAGATCATAGGCTTTAAGCACAGCTAAGTAAGTGAAGCCTTGGTAAAACAAAGGTTTCTGGATGTAGGTATTTTTTGTCTTGATTTTCATTGTTTAGTCAAGTTTTGTGAGATTTTGGAAAGGGGAGGAAGATTGTTTGTGTGCACAAATGTCAATGTCTTAGGGAGGTATGAAAAGCTTTTCATCTTGCGTTCTGTGCTTTGTTTGACTGCTAAACTTTGCAGCAGTTGAAGACTGCGACAGAAGGGCAGCAGCTGCAGGGAAAACGGTGGCAAGGAAACTGCAGAAAAAAAATCCATGACATGGTCCCGGGTTGTGTGTAAAAAAGAAGAAGAAAGAGAACAGCCTGCTCTCTCCGTGTCTGTACCTTAGATTAACAGTAAAATGACACAATCGGTGAGGGAATTGAAAAATGCTTTATATGACCACTTAGCCAAATTGCCATGGTAACCACTTGAACTTAGCCATAATTGGCTGTGATCCCTACCCCTGGCCTTGTTGACACGAAGCCGTATCATGCATTCTGGTCGGTGAGTGACTGCGAGGAAAGTAGCTTTTGAGATTCCTCCCCCTGACCTGTCTGCTAAGACGTCTATTGAGCTCAGGAGAGCAAAGCAGCGGCCCGGGACTGCTTCTCAATATGTTGCATTCTGGGAGTTTCTGTTCTTCTCCAGTTGACAGTCTATAATTCACTAGCGACAATCCCCTCCCTCATAATACATATTTTGTTTTCTATCAACACCCTTGAAATTGGAAGTGGTACTGTGGCTCACATGGATGCATCTGAAACCATCCACAGAGATACACTTGGTGGCTTTAAAACCCTGGAGATGAAGCGAAAAGATAATTGAGGTTTTGGTGTCGATATTGCCATTTGGCAAGTGCAAGCAGCAGACCATAACACACATGTTGAGAAGAGCTTCTTTGCTGCTCTGTGTATTAGCTGTTGCGTCTAACCTTTAACCCTGAAAACTCCACCGCGTCGGGATATCAGACAGTGGGAGAAAGAGCTAAAGGAATGTTTGATCAGTCCAAAAGAAAAACTAGGCCACTTTTGGAGGGTAGACGGAGTGGCGAGGGGCTTGCACAGACAGAGAGCAAAGGCGTTGTTTGACGCTTGTCATTCTCCATTAAGGCTCCTTTGATTGCCCTTTGTGGTCCTGGAAACGGCAAACAGCTGCATGCAAATGGCCCTGTTTCCCCAAGGCTGGCCCCCATTGTTCTGAGCTTGGGTTTGACAGGGACGCTTTCTCTGCAGCATAAAGGAGAGACTAGCCTTTAGTCAAATAAGAGTGCCCCCACCGTGGTCCCAGCAGGAGTACTTCAAGACTGTTTGTCTTTTTATGTTGTTTTATTCCCGATATTACTGGTAACCAACATCTTAGGAAGAAAGCGCAGATCTTAGAGTCAAGCTTTTCCTCCATCAGCAGGGGATGCCTCCGTAATCCAATATCCGGAGGGACAAAATGGTCTTACAACATGTTTTGCTCTGTTGGAGATTTTGAATGGGAATTAATAAAGTAGGAAAAAAAGACAAATATATTTTAATTCTTAGAAATAAGTTGTACGGAACAAAGCGTCATCTATGTTTGCCTTTTATTTCCAGCTCTTTTCTTTTTTACTGCAGTATCTCTAGTCTGTTCACTGGAACTTTTTGATCACTGGCCAAGGAATACAATTAAAAAAATTGATTCAAGAGGCCATTGCGTTAAACCTTTTATATATTAAGCAAAACAAAACTACACTTCACTGTCCATGCACATGCCTTTAAACCGACAAACGTATGACTTAATTTGGCTTACACTCTAGAAAGAACAAAGACAACCCTCAACATTTCCATTCCCTCATTCCTACATGTTTAAGGCATTCACTGTTGCTGCCAAAAATGTGCGACACATATTCACAAATGCAGTACATGACCGCCCATCAGAAGTGAGAGACACAGAGGACCGAGGTGGGAGATGAGAAAGGAGATTTGGGATTCACTAAATAACACCTGCTTTTCATATACAGACAACACCCGGAGATCTCCTCATTCTACCACAACGGCTCATATTTCATTTCAACTGCCAAAATGCGGTGCAACACTGGAAATGTAGTTGGACATATGGCACCATTTCCCATGACACTTTAGTCCTCCTCTAGTCTACCTTGCTGGGAATTGTTTCTAAAGACGATGTCAGACAAGACCACAAACCCCGGGGCTACTCCTGCCTTTCCGAGACAACTGCTATCAGACACTCTTGATTCCGATATAAGTATTCTAAAATAGAAACTGGCAATATAGGAGTCATATAGATGGAGTCCATTTGTGGTGAGATGAAGCGCACTGAGTCATATCTCTTTTCTCCTTCTGGTGATACATGAATTCACTGTAGCCACTTCCCTTTCCAACGCTTCCATTTGTATTCATTGCCATGGCCTTTTCTCTAATTCATGTTCTGAATGTTTTTTGTGAAAAAAATGATGGAGGACTAAATCACAAGCTCAATTTTGACACATGTCTCGATGAAGGGTTTTAAGATTGAGGATTTATTATACAGCTGAGGATAAGCGTGATAGACCCTGCGGTTGCCTCTTAACTCCTCAGGTGGGACTATTTAGAGAAAGCTTTACCCTATCACACCAGCTGCAGGCGTGTAATGTTATGCTTTTTTAAGGTTAGCAGCATTAAACAAAACCTATTTTTCCGCTTAGGTCTTATTCTCATAAGTGTGACCATTAGGACTAATGGGTCACGCT